AGAGAATAAAATGGGTGACAACACTCCCCCTTGCATTAAGCCTAAATATTTTCGAAAATATCGACTACATAAACCATTGACATTGACACACGACCTTACATTGAGGTACATTGAGTGGATAACTGAAAGGAGCTTACCTCTGATTCCAAGTTTAGACAATTTATACCACAACTTATATCTATCTACAGAGTCGAAAGCCCTCCCATAGTCAATGAAGGCGCAATATAGACGTTTCTTAGCACCTAAAGATTTACTGATAAGTGAGTGTAATGCAAAAATGGCGTCCACTGTTCCCAAATTCGGGTGGAACCCAAATTGAGCATCTGTAACAACATTTCGATCTGAGGACCATGGCAGAAGCCTCTGGTTGATTATGGATGTAAATGGAAGTCGAAGACGAGTTCCACTTCACGCTCGTATGCCCAAAATATGCTGAACTAAGAACTATCTATTTTAAGAATTATTACACCACTAGACCAACGTACTATAAATTCTTTTTATTAATGCAAACAAAAAATGTTAACGAAATGAAAATGCTAGCTAAATATTGTTTTCAAGCTTTTAAAGCCCGTTAATAATTCCTTTCTGTTTGTCAGTACATCCTCGCCAAGCCTCCTGTACTTAATTTCATAATGTATATGTAAATGGCCAGGGGCCAACATGGCCTGTGCTAATAACAGTATCTGTCTGTCTGTCTGTCTGTCTGTCTGTAAATAACTTCCCCAAACAACTAACGAGACTGATACAGAGAACAATGCGCTGGAAGCACTTCATGACTACTGACGTAAGAGCGACAGGTCTGAAGTCGTGGTTAACAGTTGGCTTGGGTTTCTTTTGTACTGGTATTACCTCAGACAGTTTCCATGCTTTAGGAATGATCTGCTTATCCAGTGAAAGTTGAAATATCTTGCAAAACACAGGACTAAGTTGATCTTTATACTATTTTAATAGCATGCCGCTCAGACCGTCTGACCCTGAAGACTTCCGTATATTTAATTGTCCAAATTGAAATTTTACGCCCACTTCTGTCAGAGAAAGACTGTTGTCTCTGTCACACAAATTAGATAAAAATGTTGTGAGTTGTTTCCAGTTTCGATTGTAAACTGAATTCGGGGATGCTGTTGGTTAAGGTGTTGAAGAAGGACAGTGGGGTCGTGATTTTGCGAGAGGATGACAAAGGTGTCATCAACCTTCCTGAACCAGCGGGTTGGTTTGATTGGTGTCGTGCGGAGTATTTTGTTGCTCGAAAGAGGTCATATAGATTTCAGAAAGGATAGGAGAGAGAGGTGAGCCCATTGGTAGTCCATGGATCTGCTCAAAGATGTCATCACCCCAGGTAAAGTAGGTGGAAGTGATGGAGTTAGAAATGAGTTGAATGATGGAGTTAGTGGAGAGGTTAGTGTCAAGGGGACTTTCAAGGTTATCAAGGCGGTGCCGGAGGACGAGGAGGGTTTCGTTAATGGGTACACTGGTTGATAGGTCCACAACATCATAACTTAGTGTGTTACCAGGGTAGGTGATAGACTTCAGTTTGTCACAAAACTGGACTGAATCTGCAATATAAGATTCTGCACTTTTGCCGAGGGGAGCAAGAAGTTTGGCCAGGTATTGAGCAGTATTATAATATACAGTGTCTCTTGAACAAACTAAAAGTCTAGTTTTAGGGTTTTTTTTGGTGAATATTCACTGTGGCATATTGAGACTGAGACTGAAGTGTTGAGGACCACGATTGCCTTGCCTTTGTCAGCGGGTACTATGGTTATGCTATTGTCTCTGGGAGGTCGATAATGGCCTGTTTTTCTGTTTTTGGAGATGTTGGGTCGCTCTGGCTTGGACTTCTCTAGGATGTCGGCAATCTGGTGGCGGAGGAAGTCGATCTTATCACCAGGTGCCAGCTGCTTGAGGCCCTTCTCGATGTTGACAATGAAGTCGTCGTGGTTGCATGGTGGTTGGTGACGAACCTCAATCCTCTGGACAGTACGTTGACCTGATCCTTGGTGAGGTTCTTGTCACTGAGGTTGACAACAGTCGTTCCTGCACACACACACCACACCTTCTGGATCCGACTATGCAGTTTTAAATCAAAACTTCGTCAAACTTTTACAACTTTACAACAATCATTCTGCTGGCCAATGTGGCATTGTCATTTGCTGGTTACGAAGTTGAGCAGACATTGCAGGTAACACGAAAGCGATGCTACAGCTAAAACAGCTCTCGACAAACTGTGATTTCAAACCCACTATCACATGTTATACTCGGGATCTTGTGCAAATAATTTGGACACAAAGGTAAGAAGAACTAAGCCTCATGAATTGAAACTAGCAATCGGTTATACCTGCTTTGGTTTTCAGTCAAGACATGATGAGACCATACACGATATTGTATTGGCCACAGTCGGTTTACTCATGACTACCAGCAGATGGGGCGAACCTCCTTTGTGTGTATCTTGAGATGAAGCGTTGACCATCAACCATATTCTGCTTGACCGTTGTTCTTCCATATTTAATTACATTTATATACTGAGTCAAAAAAGAAACTTCACATTCTTTCTTCAGGGCACTATAAAAGAACAAGAGATGGTAAGATTGTTAAATTGTTATTATTTCATTGCTGAGATCTGTGTGATGTACTCGATACACTGACAGTGCCATAATCAGTTCCATTAGGCTACATCGCCGTTCCAAAACATGGGTATACAGAATGTCAAGTCACAAGAATAAAAATGCGAAATTTCTCAGTTCAATATCGTGTATGACCGCCCCGCGCATTCACCACTGCCAAACACCGTCTCCTCATCGACTGCCTGATGCTTGTGAACACGTGGTTGGAGATTCTGCGCCATTGCTCTTGCAAGGCAGCGCCAAGTTCCTGCAAATTCTGAGGTTGGTTCCTAAGACCACGAAGCCTTCTCCCAAGTGCATTCCAAACGTGCTCTATTGGATTAAGGTCAGGGGACCTCGATGGCCAGTCCATGACGTTGATTCCAGCGTTTTGAAGGAAATTTCGTGTCAACATCGCGGTATGCGGCCGAGCATTATCATGCTGGAACTGTAGACCTGGGCCATGAGCCGCCATGAAAGGAACGAGTTCTGGGGTGAGCACCTGGTCGCGGTAAGCAGCAGCTGTGAGGTTTCCACGGATGACCAGAAGTCGGGAACGGTTGTTCCCACAGAAAGCACCCCACACCATGCAACTTCCGCCCCCGAATCTGTCGACTTCCTGTACACAACATTGGGCATACCGTTCACGACGTCGTCTCCAGACTCTATGCCTGCCGTCCGCGAATCTGAGGGTAAACCTGGATTCATCGCTAAAGACGACTCGATTCCAGTCTCTCTGGGTCCATCGGAGGTGACGTTGGGCCCACAGCAGACGTTGACGTTGATGAAACGGCGTCAATATTGGCCCACGATATGGACGTCGAGCATTGAGATTGGCAGCCCGCAACCGATTTCGAATGGTCTGTGAGGACAGTCGACCTCTAAACATCTTAGCCCTGGTTCGTGTAGCCGGCAGAAATGAAGTGGTGCCAGTTTGTAGGACGATTTGACGGTCTTCTGCTCGTGACGTCACACGTGGACGACCCGACCTTGGGCGATCAGAAGTGGTGCCACTTTGTTGTAGACGACCTCGCAAGTCATACACAGTACGACGGCTGCATCCCATTGCTCTTGCGACGTCAATAACTGATCTTCCCGCTTGCAACATGCCAACGGCACGTTCACGTTGCACATTTGACAATCGTGGCATTTCAAGTACCGTTAGAACTGTGGTTTAAAAGTGTTTTTTCAATTCTTGAGGCCAATGCAAACACGTGCATATGAAGAAAACTTCGATGCGAAGATCACGTGATCGACTGCACGTGCAAAACCTGATTTTGGCACTAACGTCATTTGCACGACGAATCGATGGGTTTGAGTGGGTTTTGCTAACGTTTTTCTAGAGTCGAAAGATAGGGATCCCATTTCGGATACACAGATGCATCATCAGAGAAAAATTATTCATTATTTTTCAAATTACATTTTGTGAAGTTTCTTTTTTGACTCAGTATAGTATGACCAGAACTTTTATTGAGAATTTTAGGAATATGTTTAATTGGATTTCTAGTATAAACAACCATGACCGGCTATCAAGTGCTTGGTTTCATTCACGAGAGACAACTCCGTCAATCCTTTTTCATTAGTTTGTGAAGAGTTATCCCCCTTTCTTTTACTTGCTAGCAGACGACATTTTCAGTGATCCTCAGTATGGATGATTTAGACAACAGGAAGTTGATTTTAGAGTATTATAACAAGGACATCAGATCAGCTAAAGTGATTTCAAGTAGAACAGACATCCCTTTGTCCACTGTTTGTCGTGTTTCGAAAATATTGCAAATGGGTATGGCATTGAGCACCAGGGAGGCGCAGGTAGGCCCAGAAAATTGACTAGACAAAATACTAACTGTTCACCTGTCTTTGAATCTGGAGTTATGTTCTGCTAATATTCACATTTAATACGTGAGTAATGAGTGAAAAAAATATATAAAATTACAATCTTTAATTTCTCAATAATTTCTGGTTGTACTGTACCAATGCTATATTCATGTATATGAAATGAGTCTCCTGAGGCACAACAACAGGAAACTTCCTCAGGGTGCCTTGTGTTTTAATTCGTAAACCGATACTCACCACACAGACGTGGTATAATACTCCTCCACCACAAGGCCAAAACATTCACTATTCTCAACATCATTTATTGCACATCTCAAATCAGAATCAGGACTCCACCACAAGGCCAAAACGTTCACTATTCTCAACATCATTTATTGCACATCTCAAATCAGAATCAGGACTTCACTAAAAGAAAACTTATGGAAGGCATCGGAATTCGCCGCTATAAATCATTCATCAACAGAGACCAAGGGTACTCCATACGATCGGCCTTTGAAGAATTATCAAGCTGAAGACTTTATCAAAAGTTTCACTACTAATTAATCACCCCCAACCCCGTTTACTGGCTTCATCACCTGTGCGATTTATTAGTTCTTGATTCCTAACTGGCCTCATCCAATTGTGTGCCACTTGTTATTCCATTACACGCTGTTGTCAATGTTAATCTGCTGTTTGTTATATCATACTATGTATGTATACATCTCATCACTTGGTTGTACTCACAGTGTAAGAATCTACATCAAAAGCATCGCTCGATGCAATAAACAAGCTGTTGTCATCCATAAAGTTGTATGCTTCATTCTTGCACATTTCTCATATCATTTTTCTGAGTAATTTCACGTTTGAGTATTTGGTTCTCCACGTGTCAACTACAATGAAATCATGATCCTTTACTCTAAAGTACACCTAGACCACTTCACAAACAATTAGAAACAAACGAAACAGTGTCATAGTCAATGTGAACAGTAGTGTCCGTTTCTCATTACAGTGACATTTGACATAAAGTGTTGCGGAGTTTGACTTGAGAACGTTCCTTTTGGTGTCCGAAGTCAACGTAAAACAAAGATAATATATATTCATTGTAATCATTTCTCATTCAAGGTCCTTGTTTTAGTATATTTCCCGCTGTCACAGGGGACAAGGTCAAGTATATCCCCTGTATTCAACATATACGATGACGTCATCAGCTCGAGCTGCTATCAGTAGATATCCAGAGTTTGTAATCGAGGTAGTCCTGGAAGGTGATCCCGGTCTGCCGTCCATCAGCCCGGTACTTGTACACCTCCTTCTGACGCTGCCAGCTGCGGAAACAGGTAGAGATAATATATTGAGGAGTGAGTGAATCGGGTTTAACGCCATGTTTAACATTATTTCCGTTATAGCTGGGCGTGCCAGCCTATTGTGGGAGGAAAGACAGAAGTGACCCTGGTCTTTCACCTTTGGTCAAATCCACGGATTTGGTGCTGATAAACCTATTAATGTATTCCGGGCCGTGACTCAAACCCACAATCACAGGTTTCCGGTTTGCCAACTCTTGGCGCCTTGGACACCCCAATATCACAAACAGGTAGCCTAATTGATGTTGTTTGCAACCTCTCGCCTTCAGCATGCCACTAGTTTGAAATGCTGACAAATTATCTCATTTTCATGAACATTGAAAAGAACTACATTTTTGAAAACGGTGGAAGTACAGTGGTGCCTATGTAGAGGGAGGTACTTTGACAACCATCAGTTATATTCTTGCGGTTGGGTCACCGAACTTATCAACGCTTTTAATCATCGGCTTGTTGAGTCAAGTATCGGGACTCACTCAATAACTGATGACGTTTGACGTAATCACAACACAGACGCTTTGACCAGTTTGACCACAGACTAGACATTATCCCACTGATTGAATGACTAGAAAGTTTGTCTTGTGACAAGTTAGTGTTTACCTGATCCAAGATGAGGGCAACCTACCTGCAGTATGCAACACAACTGATGACCAGCAAGAAAAACACAAGCAAAGCAAGGGAGCCACCCACGGCGCCACCTATAACCAGTCGATAGTCTGGAGCTTGGGCTGAAACACGCAATGCAGGTGCTTCTTACACTGTTTTCAAATAGTTGTACAAAGCAGCTACGATCCTTAGCTCAACGATTGTCCTAATGCTTTGTTAAAGTATGGGAGTCAATGTCGCTCGCTAACGCCCCCCTTGTGTTTAGTAAGTGTTTCTGATATCCAACTTCAAATCTCGATAATTGTGTAACAGCTTACGCAGTCTTAAAATTCAGATCACTTGGATTTAGGTTTTAAGTTCATTTATTATGTAGATCGTGTCGCTTTGTTTCGGAATGTTTCATTTCATAAATGTATATTAAAACGATCACGTCGGCCGCGTGCAAAGGACATTTTGTCATACAGTTTTAAGAAGGCTTTATATGTGTTCACGACGGAATGAAACTTCATGAGTACATGTAGTAGCGAGAGATGGGAAACACAGAAACTAATAAGGAAATCGTTTTGTGGAAAGTAGAACTGATGAGTAAAACCCATGCCTTTGTCACAGACAAACAGTTATATCCAAACAGATATTTAGGTTAATGCAGTAAAACTTCAGATATAGCAAACGTTCATTTTATCGAAGAAATGTCTAGCTACCACCGCAGAACCCACCATCATTTGTTTGGTACTTCGGTACTTCCACACTTCGGCAGTAGACTTTGCGTAAGTCACGGTCCCATTGGCATTCGCCGTTACCGCCACAGTAGTTGTTGTCTGCGTCACATGGAGCTGGAACCAGTCAATACTCTTCTTGAATACATTTATGGTACATGTATTCAGATATCCAAGAGAAACTAGTAGATGCAAAATGAAACATCAAAACGTAAATGTCTCTCCGTATAAATATCTAGGTTTCAACATGTCTTGAGGTCTATGCCGTCTGTGCGGTCTCTGCAGCCGTGTGTTTAACACCTGGCAAGGTATAAGCAGATATAAACGTCTGTATATGGTCTTCATAAGAGATCTTCATTTGTCCAGTATAATTATGCCAGTAGTATTAGTTCTACTGGTTACTTATATAGTATGCCATCTACACAAGAATGAGGTGTAATCTATCTACACACACACGTCAGTGTACCCTTTCCCAGAGAATTTGATTGATTGAGTTAGTGAACTGAGTGAGTTTAGTTTTACGCCGCACTCAAAAATATTCCATATACATGTTTGATAGGCATTTAGAAGTTGGTAGGGTAATACAACACACTTGATATGGATGTGCAACTTCTTTATTATTTACACACGGCGTTTCGGGGCTAATGATGAAGGGGCAAGTATATCTCTGTAACTATTGACTGTCATTCACCTGATGAAGCGGCAAGTATTAGCCCAGAAACGTGATTCACCTGATGAAGGGGCAAGTATTAGCCCAGATACGTCGTGGGTAAATGATAAAGAAGTTGCACATCCATATCAAGTGTGTTGTATTTTCCATATACATGGCGGCGGTCTGTAAATAATCGAGTTTGGATGAGACAATTCAGTGATCAACAGCATGGGCATCGATCTACGCAACTGGGATACGATGACGGATGTCAACCAGATCACCTCATCCTGTTAGTCACCTCTTACGACAAGCATGGCGGGTCTAACCCGGATCTTCACCGGTCCGAGAGACTTTAAATGGTGTTTATGAAGGATTGATCGGCTACATAAATCATCCACCAGTATACAACACACTTACATATGCATCTAGCGTCGGAATCAGCGCCGTTACGGCGTGTTGTCAGTGGAACTGAGCAGGCCATGCAAGAATTCTGTCCAGCCTCGTTCTGGTATGTACCCACAGGGCAGGGGAGGCAGGAACCGCTGTACTTGTCCAAGTATGCACCTCGTTTGCACGGCTCTGCAAGAATCAGCCCTCATCACATATGATGGTTTTGCCATGTAACGAGGAGACTCCCATGTCTATTTCAAGATTCTTCTCTTGGCTGATGTCTTAGCAAGACTGACAGGTGTATTTTGTTTGTTAATTACACCAAATATATCTGGTATATTGTGCCAGTATATCGACTTACCACATGCACCGTTCAAGTAGACGTGTCCTTGTTGTGAACACACTGTCTGGGAGGTCACGGTTGTCACACCGTCAAACACAACGCCATGGGCAATCTGCAGGATGACATCGTTCTTATTGAACTTTCAGAACTAGTAGGTAGAACTTGATGTATATGTCTGTTTGTTGTTTGTTGCAATCAGCAATATCCCAGCCATATGAACTATTACATGTTATTGGTGTACAAATGGGTATTTATTATAATATATGCTGTATTTTGCAGTTTCCCAAGAAATAGAATAAAACTCTGGCGAGTATGAAACTTACGAGGGCAGAACTCCCAGAACTTTCATATAGTCCATCTACGACCAACCTGTCAGTCGCCATCGTCGTCGTTTGTAGGCCCAGCACGCGTGATATGTCTTGTCTTAAACAAATATAAACTCATCATATTAGACTACTGAAGTACATGCATAGGTATTTTTTTCTCCGATAATATTAGAATGTATGAACTCATGTATGGGATGGCTACTGAAAAGAGGAGGAATGATACTGACGGGACACGTGGAATGGTGGTGTCGAAGATCAAGACTCCCCCTCTCATGTCTGCCGCCCCTGTGTCCTCACATCCGTCTCGTAATGACGAAGTCACGCTCTGGCAGTCCCGGTCACAGACCCCGTGCCATGACCTGTCCACTGATTGTATCGCATCCTTCAAGTGGTTCTCCACTGTTGTGGTTATTGCAGCTTTATTCTGACATGATTCAACCTTGAAACGAGTTGTTACGGTAAACGTCGCCAGCTGCATATCCACCTCTAATCCATCTGAGAAAATAGGGCATACTGGATTGAGTAAGTGAATGAGCGTTGTTTTAAGCCACTGACAGTAATATTCTTCCAAAAGTTATAAGGTTTCGGCCGATCTTCAGTGAGTGTGTATGGCTTTACGCCGCTTTCAGCAATATTCCAGCAATATCACGGCGGGGGATACCGGAAATGGTTCGGAAATCTGGGGAAACGAACCGCTTGAATCACTAGGTTACCCCACTACCCCATCGCCACACCAGACCTCAGTGTTTGACTTGTGCAAAGTTCATGGGTATTGGCAATGACCCATATAACCATCAACCCGATCTTGAGTAGGCTTCGTATTGACAAGACAGGAATACTTAGGACCCAGTCAGTCTGGGAGCACAACGGGAATTCAGGAGAAATCTTCCGCGCGGGCTTCAGTGGTATTGCAGCTAAGGTAAATGTATATAATCTGTAACGATGAAAAAGCAAAGGAGGAACAGTTTCTGAAAGACGAGCCATGGAGCACTCTTTGTAAACGAACTATCGGATCATATCGAGATTAAATATAATTAGATGACGTGAAGTCTACACGATTGTAGCAACTCACCAGGACTAGGGACACAGGAGGTGCTGCCGACCCCAACAGTTACCGTTCCCGGGGCACACTTGTAGCAATACAGTTGTTCGGAATCCGACCGGAAGTAGTTCAGACGACATTTCTCACAGCCCCGGGTCACATGGTTGTAGTCTTCACCCAAGGGACAGAACTCTGAGTCAAAATAAAATTGAGATGTTATGTTATCCTAATGTGAATGCATGCTTATACACAAGCCTTTTTAACCAATTTAATTAAAGAAAATGTTTCCGTTCAGAATCTAGGACCTATGTGTTATGTGTGGCCAATAATTCACTGATTGAATTAACATATATCGTTCTGTTTCGTTTTTTCTTTCTGAGTCCAAGAAGGAATTCCGTCAAGGCTGAGCTATCCGGGGGTAAAACTTGTCAAAAATACCGCAATAACCTTGTAGTTCTTTAATATTTTGTAATGTGTTAAGATTCCTCTTCTGGGCCAGTGTATTGTTCACCTGCGAAACCTGCCTTTGTATAGGCTCCCCATGGGTAATATTCAAAAAGCTAGTTGCACAGGAAAAATCCAGGTTAGAATTGGCCTTCAGCAACCTATGCTTGTCGTAAGAGGCGACTTAAGGGATCGGGTGATCGGGCTCGTTGACTTGGTTGACACATGTCATCGTATCCCAATTGTGTATATCGATGCTCATGCTGTTGATCAATGGATTGTCAGGTGCAGACTCGATTATTTACAATCTACCTTCAGTTATTGGCGATTTATAGCCCATTTTTATACTGTATTGTTTTTCCCCTGTAGTTAAAACGTTTTAGATTTATTTACTAGTTTGACATACATGTGATATTCTAGTTGTTTTACTGTCCTTCGTCGGCAGGTTTTTAATAATATAAATATATTTCATTTCAATTTTATATGTTCTCGTCACGATATGGCTGAAATATTGCCGATGTGACGTTAAATATTAACTCACTCACTCACTCACTCGATTATTTACAGGCCACCGCTATACAGCTGGAATACTGCTGAGTGCGGTGTTACACAATAACCATACCAAACCAAACCAAAAGCTATTTAAGACAATTACTTTGTCATTTCATTTCAATGCGTGTCCGTTGTTTGCAATATTTTGAATATCCCGTTGTCTTTGATCTTTGCACTTCAACCACGTTCCTTAATTCTCTCAAATGTTCTAAAAATATACACATGATATCACAGCCCACCGAACCATGATTTAGCTTGTTACCGCAAATTTCAAGATGTCACCTGGACGTGTTCAATGAATTCGTAGTAGCAATATTGTTCATAATGATTATTCAATAATTTAGGTTCCAAAGGTAATGAAATTCCGTATTAGTTATCTCATTTGTAAAATTAAAGTACATGTATGTTACATCTAACAGGACATCATTATTATTGGTGAAAAGCATATTCTGCAACATCAGACAGATCTTTGACTCTTAGAAGTATGATATTCTTCACACACATCAGCCAGACAATGATATTGATCCTTGCAACAGTTTGCATATAGTTCTCCATGAAATGCAGTGACTCACTCCTACACTTGTGCCGAGTATCAGCGCCCGTGTCTGTGGTACTGAAGCCCGGGGCAGGGGATGCAGGCCGCGTTACGCCGCCCCTCCTGATATGTTCCCCTCTCACAGGGAGTGCATCCACGTTTGTCAACCTCACCCCGCGTGCCGGGTGGACAGTCATCTGGGAGTATAAAATATGAAACGAAATATTAATTATTGTTTTTTATCGGCCGCATTTGCCAAGACAACAGTGGAAAACAGATAAATAGTCACAAATTAAATATACAGGCCTGTGTGTTCGTATTATCTGAACCTGAACCTGCGCCATATTGACATCGTTTATGTTACTTTCCTAGCTTATATCGTTACATATGTATCCGTGAGAAGGAAATGTGACAAATCTCATACATTTGAGACATTTGTTATAAAATATTCCAGGAAACAACTGGCTACATGGGTATGATACTCTCTATTGTCCTGCAGTTAAGTTATCCAACTACGGACGTTTATCAGGTGGTATTTGTCTGTGTGTACGTCAAACACTGAGGAGTTTCTATAATGTTATACAATCAGACAGAGACAACATAATTGGTCTCTCAGACAGAGAATTGACAAAAAACATAATTGGTCTCTCCTATATTTAAAGACTATTATATAGAATTGACATACTAAAATGTGAATTTGTTATGTACCATATATAACCATGTAACCACCGTCGGGTCACCATACTATAACCATGTAACCATGTAACCACCAAGTGTAATATTGTAAAAGTAGAAGAATTCTTGTTAGCTAATAATGAAATGTTTTCAAATTCGTATGATTTAATCTGTGGACATATGAACGCGAGAACAGGTGAGAGAAATAACCCTGATATTAGCAATCACGACGATACCCTCAGGCATACTACCCCTTTCCCTGATGAGGAGGATGACCCTGTTGAAGATCATACTTCACAGGATATAGTTGTAAATAGATTTGGCAAAATGTTGATGGATTTATGCTATGATTTTAAACTTTACATTGTAAATGTACGAGTCTATGGTGATACTAATGGGGAATTTACTTATTGTAGCCAACATGGCTCCAGAGTAAATGATTATTTTTTTAAGTTCACCTGGTTTTTTTTAGTTCATCAATATGTTCAGTATCGGTGATCGATCTGATTATGATCCCTTCCACTAGAATTGATGTTTAAATTTCCAAATATGGGTAATAGGTGTAACAATGATTCATGCATGGATCCAACAGCATCAGAGAAAATTGTATGGAATGATTCTTATTCTAATATGTTTCTTGATAACCTGAGATATAAGATTGCTGAAAACAAAGAAATGCTCCTAAAGGAAATTGATAATGCTATTGAAAAGGCAATTAGTCACTTTGTTTGAGATTGTATTAAACTCTGCTAGCTGCATGAAAAAGCCAATCCGACATAGTCCACAAACTGCTAATAATAAAAAACTACTAAATCTAGAATGTAGACAAGCGAAACGAGAAACACGTAGGGCACTTAGGAGATTTAGAAACACGTAGGGCACTTAGGAGAAAATTTAAATCTATTTCATGTAAGAAATCAGTAGAAAGATTGCACAGAAGCATAAATAGTCAATCTAGCTTTTGGAAACAGATAAGATCATTACAAAACAAACCCAAACAGAAGAATCTTAATACGAAAACAGAACGGCTTTACCATTTTAATAATGTTTTTACAAATAACAATGTTTTTTCTCCTCACTTGGATGATGAAAATGAAATCTTTTCAGATCAGTTCACAGATATTGATGCATTCTTTCTAAATTCTAATATAACTGAACATGAAATTACATCATCAATCAACAAGTTGAAAAACGGAAAATTTGCCGGACCCGATCAAGTGCTGTTCCCAATTTGATATAATGCCATTTCTACATAAATGTTTCAACAAACTCTTTGATAATCAAATATTTCCCAGCAGTCGGTCTTGTTCAGAAATAGTCCCTTTACATCAAAAAGGCGACCCGAGAGACCCTGACAACTATAGGGGGATCTCATTAATGAGTGTCCTTGGGAAAGTTTTTACTGCTTTGTTAAACAATAGAGATAAAATACCGGAAGTTCAAGCTTGTTTTAGAAAAAATTATACAACCATAGATCACATTTTTACTTTATATGCTGTAGTTCAGAAATGTTTATCACGTCGTAAACACAAATTATACGTTGCTTTTATTGATTTTAAAAAAGCATTTGATACAGTTGATCGTTATAAATTATGGTGTTGTTTGAGAAAAGCTGGGCTACATGGGAAGATGTTTAATATACTAAAATCAATGTATTCAAATATCAAATCATGTGTACGTAGTGATTATAGTGTTACTGATTTATTCGATTGCCCGTCCGGCTTATGTCAGGGATGTACATTGAGTCCTCTGTTATTTTCGTTTTTCATTAGCAAATTGTATTATGAAATTTCAAGTAACGGTAAGCATGATTTACAGATGTATCCTGACATCCTAGAAATCCTTATGCTCCTTTTTGCCGATGATGTTATTTTACTATCTGACACAGTTATTGGTCTACAGAATCAGTTGAATGTATTAGATAAATACACTAAGGAATGGAATTTATCTGTAAATTTAGATAAGACAGAAATTATAGTTTTCAGAAAGGGGGGCCCTTTAAATTCTAAGGAGAGATGGTACTTAAATGGACAACGAATTAATGTCGTTAATGGTTATAAGTATCTTGGTATAATGTTTAATTCCACGCTTAATATGGACAAATGTGTTCCTGACTTATCACTGCGAGGGAAACGAGCTTAACTTAATATGATGTCGGTTTCGCATAAACTTGGAGTTATTACACCTAATGTATTTTCAAATTCTTTGATACCCAAATACAGCCAATTCTGTTGTATGGATCCGAAGTGTGGGGTTACCAAAGATTTGAATGTTTAGAAAGAATTCACCTACTGGCATTTAAAAAGTTTCTTTGTGTTGGATTAGCAACTCCAAATAATATGATATATGGAGAATGTGGAAGATACCCACTTTACATTAATTCGCAAATAAAGTGTTTAAAATATTGGTTTAATATCAGCCATATGCCAGAACATCGGCTTCCAAAATAGCTTATAACATGCTCTTTCATCTAGATAGTATCGGTAAGGTTACATGGGTATCGCATGTAAGGTCACTATTATTCTCACATGGATATGGGTTTGTATGGTTTAATCAATCTGTTGGCGATCTATATCTATTTCTAAATGATTTTCGTAAAGTAGCAATAAATATGTTCTATCAAGGATGGCAATGCAACTTAGAAAACAGTTCGCGTTATGATCTGTACAAAACGTTTAAAACTTTATTAGAGCCAGAAAAATATTTATTAGTTTTAACAAATAGTAACCTAAGAAATATATATATATTAAATACAGACTTGGCTTGTCAAAACTAATGATTAATCATGGACGGAATATATCACTTGAAAGAATACAAAGAATTTGTCCACTATGTAACTCTGCTATAGAAGACGAAATGCATTTTACCTTTGAATGTCCTTATTATGCAGAAATACGAACTAAATATAACTAAATATATACCAGGACGTTTCTCATCTAAGTTGAGTAAAATAGGGTTTGTTTCTATTTTGTCATGGAATGATGCCGATGTAATATTTAGATTATCTCTATTTGTAAAACATGGAATGGACCTAAGAAATAACTTGTTGCATGGGATTTCAGATTGACCTTACTCTGAGAAGTTCTCCTGATTACCACCAGTTGTTAAATGAATGTTATAGTTTTATCATTTCCACTGTATCTACTAATCAGTATATTTTCAACCAGTGTATTTATGTAAATTTGTATATGGGCTGGTGGCCTTTGATACAAGAAAACACCTTTGACTTTGACTTTATACAAATCTAGTTAACTTTTCTCATTTCAACAACAATAGTACGGATGTCTCCTCCCCGTTAATTAGAGAAGAGCGGATTAGCGCAGTCTTTCTGCTATTCGCAGGTTCATGTTCTCCAAGGCAGTCGACACTCCGGGTGTTATAAGAGCAGTGTTGAGCATTGCCACGCTCCACTGATTTTCGACAGTCCCGGTGTGTATTCGATAAAACATTCGACAGTCCGGGTGTGAACCTACCAACCTACAATCCCATGCCGTTGTGGGCTGCACCTACCTTGTCCAGATGACAGTGTAAAACAGTAAGTATTTGCAATTAATATACCACCGGTTGATATGTTTTAATTACCCGCGAGATGCTATTTCCTTGTAAACACATAGCACCAAACATCGATTGCGTCTCTCGTGTGTGTTGTATCTTCTTACACTTCATCTTCCCACTTGTCAAGCTTTTATACGTGTAAGGCGGCGGGGTCTAGATGAATGGCTATTGTGTGTACCTTACACGGGATGTCGTAGTAAAGGTGTTAGAGAGGGTCGGACTGAATGCACGTAACAAACAGCGAGGTTTACACGGAGTGAATCAATATTTACAGGATGAATACATATTTCTTTCTCTTCCGTAACTTGGTCACGATACACTGTATCCGTTATAAATTTAGCAGAACTGAAATTTTTAGACATACAACATGTAATCTAATATGACAATTCCGTTTAACAGGAAGACTCTTTGTTTAATGTTAGCTGAAGGATTGATTGGTCATTTATTATGTACAAGTAGGGGTGTGGGGTGCATTTCAGAGGTGTTTGATGTACTAACGTGTTGAAAATAGCTACCTTCCCATATTGCATGTACGTTCTTGTTGACCCTTCCAAAATATGTATTAGTTTTATTACTGATCCCCACTGACACCCGACTGCTCATCATTTACACCTGACTGATCCCCACTGACACCCGACTGATCTCATCATTTACACCCGACTAATCCCCTGACTGACACCCGACTGATACCCGACTAATCCCCACTCATCTATTGACACCTGACTAATCGACCCACTGACACCTGACTGATCTCATTGACACCCGACTAATCCCCACTGACACCCGACTGATCCCCACTCTATTGACACCTGACTAATTCCCCACTGACACCCGACTGATCTCTATTGACACCCGACTAATCCCCACTGACACCCGACTGATCTCTATTGACACCCGACTAATCCCCCACTGACACCCGACTGATCTCTATTGATACCCGACTAATCCCCATTGACACCCGACTGATCTCTATTGATACCCGACTAATCCCCACTGACACCCGACTGATCTCTATTGACACCTGACTAATTCCCCCATTACTGAGTGTCAAAAAATCTCTTAACGATCCTGAACTATATAACCTGTAACACAATGAAATACAGTATGTTCCGAGAAGTTCAAGATTACACAAATGGAAATGAGCCCCAGAATGTTCTCACCTCTCGCTGATGTCAGCATGTGTCTGAGCCTATTGAGAAGGGGGTTCTTTACCCCGAAACACGAGATCCCCCCAAAGTCCTCCTGGCCAAGTTCCCACACCATGTAGCCGGCCAGGCCGTTGTCTTTAATGTAGTTGATCTGCAACATGACCAGTATGTGAACTAACTATACAGCTGAACTGAAAACTAATATACGGTATTTACTAGTTTATCTCGAGATATTAGTCGATTAGGCCGCCGCATACCGCCACTTAAAGTTATGAACAAATCATCCTGTCTTCCTCGGTTGCTGCCCAAAGAGATTAAGGTTCCAGAGTCTTTTTGTGGAAAGACTGAACATTAAAGGCGGACTTGACTCCGACGTACAGTTTGGCAGTCCAAGCATGTTTGATTTGTATAAAATGTTTATCCTAGCGATGATAATTATTAGACAACGCCTCAGATTCACATGACACTTATAATTACACGTCATGGGCAACAGACTGCAGAACAAAGTATCCATTTAACTGGAGTAAAATCACGGTATAACTGGCTATGAACTGTTTGTCCAGTTTTCAATACGTACGGTCCTCGGTGATGTTGCAGCCGTTGTACTGTCAACCCATACCCACCCACTCTCACAGGCGGTCTCTCATGAAGACGTTGGCAAATAAGGATTTTACTACATTTTAAGTCAAATGCATAAACTTTCGTGGAGGACAGGAATTGACTGAGACCTGGAATTGAGTTCGACATTCACTGAGACATGGACATCACACTGGACATGCACTGAGACATGGACATGCACTGAGACATGGACATGCACTGAGACATGGACATTCACTGAGACATGGACATGCACTGAGACATGGACATGCACTGAGACATGGACATGCACTGAGACATGGACATTCACTGAGACATGGACATGCACTGAGACATGGACATGCACTGAGACATGGACATTCAGAACGACACAGGGCTACCTCACTGCTCTCCTACCTTAGTATCCACTGTTCTGAAGTTCTCGTAGTTCACCCAGAGGTTGTCGCTGTGCATAGAGGCCGTCATGGAGATGTTGTCCCACACTTTCCTCCACCCTTGACGTAGTCGTTCACACACCTGACAGTACAGAGGAACTGTAGTAGGATGGCATAACATATACAACCCAGATTACTGAGAGGATCTGTAACAGGCAGTCATAAAGGTTTTGTCGCGAAACTTATTATAAAAGTACAAGTCTCTAAGTATGGACAATCAACATAAGAGTACTGACCTCATCTGTAATAGTGCGGACAGTCATTTCATTACAAACACGTTTACAGACAATGGGGACACAGGGTTGTCCAGAATGTTGATTGTGGTATTTTGATTCTTGACCTTTTGTACCAACATGTCTTCCGTAACTGATACACAGAGACATGTGAATTTGGCCATGATTTCCGTCTCAACGGTAGGTACTCCAGTATTAGTGTCATGGCTGCCACAAAAAGTCATACAGAGTTTTCAGATCCGCAATGTTCTGGAACTGCTTGAAGTAAACAACGCCCCAGAACCATGTTCGGTATGTTATGTTGGCTGGCCGTCTTTCAGATGGTTTTCAGACGTCAGATGGGCTGAATGGTGCCTGGCGCTATCATTCAGAAAAGTGATTTCCTTGGATGACACCAGTGATCAAACCAAGAAAAAAAGAATCTAGTATAAGGCGTCCTGCTGATACCGCTGACAACTGATGGCCAGTCACAGTGACAAGCTGAAGCATGTCAACTCGACACAACCATAGACCCGCCGCCATGGCTGCTGAAACATTGCTCTGTGTGCATGCTGTGTGTCTTCCCTGCTCGACGCGAGTTCGGCCATTTGGCGCAAAAGGAAACACCCCTCACACGCACGCACGCACGCACGCACGCACGCACACACACACACACACACCTAGAGGACCGTCCTCGAGATTCCAACTCCACTCAACCGTAATTGATCACAGGCCGCTTCACATGTCTTCTTGTACGATATCCATTCGTTTTCGGCCCATTCCTTCAGACAACTTTCTTAAAATGTTTTCAGTAAAATACTCACTTGTGAACATGTGAGCTACAATATGCATGTATAAAACATCTGTCTAGTGTACCTGTATTAGAGCAATACAAATTTAAATCAATAATATAATTCATTGTTCAGGGCATTTATCACCTAAGTGTGAGTATTGAAAACACTCCTATGCTGCAATAATTTTCCCATTCATAATTTTTTCTTAGTTCACAATATTATATGCAGTTTAATGATTATCCATTAAACAACACTTTCAAACAGTCATCATTCCATGCTTATGTCGGTTACCATCACGTTTCTTTTAGAAACGTAACAGAGATAGTTCTGCCCTTCTACTACTCCACCTCTGTATTTGTGTAATATGTATTACCTCTGGGTGGTACAGTTCGGTGATAGTGCTGTTGACTTTGATCGAGTCACCGTAGGTAAAGTTGCTCCCATCGTCGAAGGTGTACTCACGAGAAAACATAGGTACTCCCAATACAATCTTCTCTGATGCTACACCGGTTTGGAGTAGAAACTGCACGGTCATGTTCTGGAACAATATCGGATGTAGCTAATGAGGATGGGGACGTGTTGTCAGTCTGGTGAATTCTTATTTCCTTAATTGTTATGTTAGGCGCTTTCTATCTCAGTTGTATTCTTTGGTTTTATCATTGATCCCTTTATACTACATGTGACAACTTCAATGTTTAAAGAGCCTCAATTTGCTGAGCAGTCCTTAGCAAAGCCTAACAATGTTCAGAAAGTAATGTCTGTTCGTTTCGAAAAGATGTTCGCCCTTATTGTAGCGTTTTTGGGTTGTCAGCAATGTGCCACTGGCATGGGTCCCTCAAAACAGTAAACATCTAACACTTGGATCACTTCGGGCTTTTCCTCCATAAAATATCCTACAAAGTCCGAATCACTAGGAATCCCCGCTAGTCAGATACTACAGTCATGGTCAGCTATTTGGGTATGCTTACGACGTTCAGCTGGTCCGCGGGGGGCGCGTCTTCGGGTCGTTTGTACAGAGGCGCTGCGTAGTACAAGCCCTGTCTGCTCACGTCAAAGTCGTAAGCCATCAGGTTGATGAAGTCCATGGTCCTGAAATGCCATTAAAATGTGTTACATTTCTGGGGCTACAGTCCTTCCCTATCATGTAGTATAGACTGCACTGAGAGGAGACTGAGGAGAAATGGGGTTAAACGTCGAGATCAAGATTGTATAGTGACGTAGTGCACATGCGCGGTGGGCGCGCGCTGGTAGTATGGAGATGCGGATTGTATTTGTCTGGGCGAATACCGATGTTATAGTGCTTGCCTATTGTGATGCAAAGCCACAGTAAAAGGATGCCCTTCTCAAACTAGTCCTTAAATAATCGTATTAATGTTATCTCATTGGTGCTGAGCGCCAGGCTTGGAACAACAAGTACCGCTTCTAGGTATGATGCGGCCAAGCAATCAGGGCCTCGTTCCTCAAAGCGATCGTAGCGCTACAACTGTCGTAAGTCTATGTTAAAGTATGGGAGTTACGATCATCTTAACGCTACGATCGCTTTGAGGAACGGGGCCCAGAACACCGACATTCCGCACTCAGGGCAGATGCTCTGCCTGCTACACCATGGAGACTGTGATGACATTAGGAACAACTTCAGGACATACACATAGAAGACGTAGAGTGTTGATAAAGACATGGAAATTATACATTAGACATTCATAAACATAGATTTTCAATATCTCACCTAAACACTTTCGCGACTTCGTAGGCTTTCTCCATTTTGGACGGTATGGCGGGCATTGCTGTCGACAACAGCAGGCGGGGTTTGCCGGATGCCACTGCCTGTTCCTCAAACTTCTGCATCAGTGTCTGCAGTAAGGAAAATATTTCACTATTAACCGTTCAGTCATTCATTAAACGTTTACTCTAATACCAAGCTCATTATAAGAAACGGATGATAGTGTCTTTTTGAGTATCTGTCACCACATGTCCCTGGCCATACTAACAGCAACAAGGCATGCCCTCATCCATGTCTTCCCCACGCCCCACTCTGAGCCACACTGTCAGCAGTGTTTGCCCTTAACCCTAAAAAGCTGCAGAACCTAAGGACCCAGAACCATACAAAGTTATGGGTCCTGATCAGAATGTGTAGACCCTATATTATAGCTATAATATAAGTAATTCCCAGCAAACAAGACCATAAGGCCCTGCAGAAAACAGAAGCTGTGGGTCCGAGTGGTTTTCAGTCGGCTTCGGGCCTAAGGACCGACGTTAATTTGGATGACATCCCCTACCCCTACCCCGATACTGAAGCCTCACCCACCTCTGCCAGGAACGTGAACCTCTCTCTGTCCGAGTCGTTACTGCCCCTGTGCGCTGGATACTCCCAGTCAAGGTCAAGGCCGTCAAAGTTACGATCTCTCAAATACTTGACGACGTTGGCACTGAAGTTGTAGACTTTGGTGTCGTTGCTGACAAGTTCGACAAACGGCATAGAACCGTGTGTCCAACCTCCTACTGCCAACATGATCTTCAGTTGAGGGTTTACGGTCTTCAGAGAAGTCAGCTGCTCATAGTTTCCTGCAACATGGCCGATGAGGCGCCATCTTACTTCTCGCTCGTCTATGGAACTGACAGTTTACTCTTTACAAATATGTATATGGTTTAAAACAGGATGGCTAATTCGGCATTCAAAAATTCAAAAATCAGGAGTCCTACATCGTTTAAAGGTCTCCGCTAAGCTGGAGTACGTGTCTGTGTATGCTACACACAATGGTAACCCTGGCAATACTCAGGACATGAGATCCTGCCTACTTTTTAGTGGGTGTAGTAAACCTACCTCCCGGTATGTCGTCGTTCCACTCGTATGGTGCGATGGTGTCCTCTTCTGGAATTACTTTTGAAAAGGCAAAGATGTAGTGAGTGCATAGCGTCGGGTCGCTGATGTTGGCGGCGGTAAACTTGTGCGTCCCAGTACGATACTGACTCCAGTTTGTTATGTAGCATGTCCGTTTGTACTCTACACACGTACACACACCTGCAACAATATCTGCTGTACAGTTTTCCCAGAAAATATTGAGAAAATAGTTGTTTCCTAATACTGATAATAGAATTTTAAAAGATGTGTTACATTATGTAATAAGGTACTCAATATGGGAGGAAACTCTTCTATGCTTAAGAATGAACCTTACTACATGAAGAGTTATCTCCCCTGGTGTAGCTGACAGCTTCCTTTGTTGACATGACAGATTTGACAGCAAAAGAGAAAAGAAAGCTGGTTCTAGATGATTTCGAAAGGGGTGTTACTAATGCAAAAGAGTTAGCTGGTAGACATCGCATTCCTCTGTCCTCAGTTTACAGAACTGTGAAGAATATTCAGTCAGGAGGTGGGATTGAGCACAAGACGGGGGCAGGATGGCCAAGGAAGTTCAGTACTACAGCAGTACGGTCCGCTGGCGACTTGATCAGATTGTGAGTTGGGGGAAATTGAAAAGCGTTGAGTATATCAGAAATGAGATGATTAGCAGAGGAAGTCCCCAGGTATGTAATGAAACCCTTAGACAAGATGCATAAAGACTTGTGAAAAAGCGCGGAATTCCCTCACCTTTGATGAAAGATGACAAAAAGAAAGACGTTTAGACTGGTATAGGGCTCACGAAAATCAATTGGGATAATGTTTTCTTTTCTGATGAAAGTTCTTTCTGGCGTTTTCCGAACGGAAAACAGATACCGTGAAACCTGTCTACCAACGCCCAAAACATAGCCTGAAATTTCACATGTGTTGTGGAATATCATCACGTGTAGTGACGCCGTTGTGTATTTTCACTGAAAATTTGACGAAGGAACGATATGTTGACATCTAAATGATCACCTCCTTCATTTAAGTAAAACTTCTATACTTTATATGCATGTATTAGATATTTGCCGAAACAACTTTCTCTGTAATTTCTGGAAATACAATACTCCACACGCTTACATTTACACGAAACACCATTTCAGGTCCACATAAGAACATGTACCACAACTACAACACCATCTACTGTAGTCCCTACATATGTATACACATCTGTAACACCATCTACTGTAGTCTACATATGTATACACACCTGTAACACCATCTACTGTAGTCTACATATGTATACACACCTGTAACACCATCTACTGTAGTCTACATATGTATACACACCTGTAACACCATCTACTGTAGTCTACATATGTATACACACCTGTAACACCATCTACTGTAGTCTACATATGTATACACACCTGTAACACCATCTACTGTAGTCTACATATGTATACACACCTGTAACACCATCTACTGTAGTCTACATATGTATACACACCTGTAACACCATCTACTGTAGTCTACATATGTATACACACCTGTAACACCATCTACTGTAGTCGTATATGTATACACACCTGTAACACCATCTACTGTAGCCTACATATGTATACACACCTGTAACACCATCTACTGTAGCCTACATATGTATACACACCTGTAACACCATCTACTGTAGTCTACATATGTATACACACCTGTAACACCATCTACTGTAGTCTACATATGTATACACACCTGTAACACCATCTACTGTAGTCTACATATGTAATACACACCCATAACACCCATCTACTGTAGTCTACATATGTATATGTTTACACCATCCTGTAACATAATATGTTTACACACCTGTAACACCATCTACTGTAGCCTGCATAATATGTATACACACCTGTAACGCCATTTACTCTAGTCTACATATGTATACACACCCGCAACACCATCTACTGTAGCCTACATAATATTTATACACACCTGCAACACCATCTACTGTAGCCTACATATGTATACACACCTGTAACGCCATCTACTGTAGTCTACATATTTATACACATACTACTGTACTACATATGTATACACACCTGTAACGCCATCTACTGTAGCCTACATATGTATACACACCTGTAACACCATCTACTGTAGTCTACATATGTATACACACCTGTAACGCCTCTACTGTAGTCTACATATGTACACACACCCACCATCTACTGTAGTCTACATATGTATACACACTGTAACACCATCTACTGTAGTCTACATATGTATACACACCTGTAACACCATCTACTGTAGCCTACATATGTATACACACCTGTAACACCATCTACTGTAGTCTACCTACACACCTGTACACACCATCTACTGTTGTCTACATATACACACCTGTACACACCATCTACTGTAGTCTACATATGTATACACACCTGTAACGCCATCTACTGTAGTCTACATATATGTATACACACCTGTAACACCATCTACTGTAGTCTACATATGTATACACACCTGTAACACCATCTACTGTAGTCTACATATGTATACACACCTGTAACACCATCTACTGTAGTCAACATATGTATACACACCTGTAACACCATCTACTGTAGTCTACATATGTATACACACCTGTAACACCATCTACTGTAGTCTATATGTATACACCTGTAACACCATCTACTGTAGTCATATGTATACACATAACGCCATCTACTGTAGTCTACATATGTATACACACCTGTAACACCATCTACTGTAGTCTACATATGTATACACACCTGTAACACCATCTACTGTAGCCTACATATGTATACACACCTGTAACACCATCTACTGTAGTCTACATATGTATACACACCTGTAACACCATCTACTGTAGTCTACATATGTATACACACCTGTAACACCATCTACTGTAGTCTACATATGTATACACACCTGTAACACCATCTACTGTAGTCTACATATGTATACACACCTGTAACACCATCTACTGTAGTCTACATATGTATACACACCTGTAACACCATCTACTGTAGCCTACATATGTATACACACCTGTAACACCATCTACTGTAGTCTACATATGTATACACACCTGTAACATATCTACAGTCTACATATGTATACACCTGTAACGCCATCTACTGTAGTCTACATATGTATACACACCTGTAACACCATCTACTGTAGTCTACATATGTATACACACCTGTAACACCATCTACTGTAGCCTACATATGTATACACACCTGTAACGCCATCTACTGTAGTCTACATATGTATACACACCTATAACACCATCTACTGTAGTCAACATATGTATACACACCTGTAACGCCATCTACTGTAGTCTACATATGTATACACACCCGCAACACCATCTACTGTAGCCTACATATGTACACACACCATTATCTACCATGTAAGTGTATTCCAACTGCAAAATCTATTATGTTCCAAATGGGTACATCAGCAACACCATAATAATAATAATGATAAATGGATATTTCTTGTGCGCCATAGTCCACCCAGAGCATGCTCAAAGCGCTACATCTGAAAGTGTCACTAGAGTTGATGAGGAAAATATGTCAGTTCGTCAAAAAGACCATCAGAATATTTGGCAGTTATAGGTTGTAGAAGTTTTTTAAGAGGAAGGTTTTGAGTCCGGATTTGAATGCTTCTAAGGATGAAGCATTTTTTTTATGGGAGAAGGAAGACTGTTCCAGGGGGTTGGTGCTGCAAATTTGAATGATCTATGGCCAAAGTGTTTGAGATGAACTTGGGGAACTGTGAGAAGATATATTTTGATTCTGAGAGCGGAGAGAACGGGCAGGCATATATGTTGACAACATCTCAGAGAGGTATGGAGGAGCTAGGCCGTGTCTGCAGCGGAAAACAAGAGTGGGGATCTTAAACTGAATTCTGGCTTCACCCGGCAGCCGATGCAGACTCTGGAGGATTGGGGTTATGTGAGACCATTTGGATGTTTTAGTGACAACTCGCTAAAAGTTTCACTTGAAGTTTTTGAAATCTGAAGAGAAGATCATTAGAGATTCCAAACTGTAGGCTATTGCAATAATCAGTCCTGGAGAGAGCAAGTGACTGAGTGAGAACTTTAGCTGCATCTGTGGTTACAAGATGACGGATGTTACCAATAGAGTGGAGATGAAAGCAGCCTACTCTACAGAGATGGTTCACATGTTGCTCCATGGTAAGACAAGGATCAAGATAAACACCTAGGTTTTTTACACTGGATGAAAGTGGGATATCTGAGTTGGCTACTGTGATGTCGTAGAGTTTATCCTTTTCAGACGTTGCAATGTGCCAATCAACATAGCCTTAGTCTTGTCTTCACTGAGCTTCCATGTAGTGTGTTTTACACATGTACATACACTTCCAATACCATCACAAGACCACATGTTGCCAAGCCATATTACCAGGCCTGTACATTATTTGTCTACTACAGTAAATGGTGTTGTGAACAAAGAGTTATATTACCTATCAACAAAACCGTCACTGGAACCAGGGAGTACATCACGCCGAGGGCACTGCAAAGTAAAGCATGTTTCTCTTATATTTCGATACATATAAATCGTAAAAGTTATATCTCAGTTCAGACAGAACCTGCATCTCATGGATGCAGCTTGAGTTCCGGGCGTTTGACGTGTTGACGGGAATTGACTCGGTGCAGGTCCTACTCAGCTGTCACCTTGAAACATTGAGAAGGGCGTCCAGTCCCTTACAGCGCAGTAAAGTATCTACCACTGGACACCTTATACAATGTATGCCGAGACTCAGGCCTCCTGTAGAAAGTATTTGAAGAATCTTTATGCGTTAATCTAATTCTGTCAAATCTGTAAATCTAATTAGGAACGCGCGCTGATCATCCATGTAGATAATATCATTTTGGCAGTAATATTAGCTGTCTAACTGACATTATCTACTTAAAATGACGGTGCGTTCGGCCATTCTGTGTATGTTACAACGTCAGACGTAAGCATAGCCATGTCCCCCTGACTGTGTAAAATAATCCAGCTCGGCTAATACTAGTTGTAAGACACATAGCAATAAATACACAACACCTATTGTTAGATCGTGACCTTCATAGGTTGACTGAGGTTTAGAGCTATGGTAATGTCCCACTGCTTTGGAAAGCCTTAGAAAGCAAAAACAATACATATAGGTTACATAAAACCGATACTACTGAAGTATAGACGACACATGCAGCCATATATGTGCTACATTCGACCAAACAGAACATGTCATGCTTGAAAACAACGAAAGAGTACACGATAGTGAAACAGAATATAATGTCTTAGAAGAAGAAGACTATATTTCGGTATATAGCCATTGGCCCGTGTACAATTAATGCAAAGTGGTATATGATATATAGACAATATGGTTTAAACATATACATAGGTATATATATACATGTCTCTTCTATTATTGGATAGAATTCCTTTTAGATAGTGCATGTTTAATAAATAATGAAATTTTTATAAGTAAATTCTTATCTTTGCATGTTGACAACTTATGATATTTGCTTAAAACAGATGGACAATTAAATTCTGGTAGGTATTTGCTTCTTAAATTTGCATATGCATCACATAAATATAATGTCTTAAGTAACATTTGACACGTTGTGATTGACTATAGTTTCCAACGGGAACACGGCAGTTTTAGTATGTTACTCTATGTTAATGTGGTGAACGGAAGCGCTTAGGGTGATTCCTGCATTTACTTTATGCACATGGAAGTCTTTGATAAGTCCTTTGATAAGGTCACTATCGGTGTGTGGTTCCCACGTCAGCGTAGGACACACAGCCAATGTGATTGAGGTGCATACTGATAAGATGCATCCCTCTATTTATCGAGCGTGACAGTTGTTTTGAAATACGAGAAACATCTCTGTACGGATCAGAGTATATGGCATGGGGAGTACCACAGTACGTTGTATTTCGCGCTGACAAGAGAACCGGGGAAGAATATCAGTCCCGTTGGACCGCCCGGAGTACAGTAGGACTTCACTGCTAGGGCAATTGTGCTGAGTAATTCTTTAAAACTTGCATTTGTTACAAGTATAAAACGGTGTCCCCAATACATTTAGAACTCAATAACAAACAATAGATATTTCTATCATTTAAGTTTCTATCTACTCCTTTTGAAAAAGTTATATTTTGTGTTTATTTTAAAAGTAATATCTTATTCACTATACATTATATTTTGCATTCATAACCTGGAACTGAGGAGTTCTTTTGACACCGGGTAACGAAGGGTTGAAAGCTACATACATTCAAATTGAGACAGCAGTGTACGGTGTCTGCTGGGGGAATGTCTTAGGTCAGGTTTGAGGCCAGAAAGTGCCTTTACACATGCCTTTACGCAACAGCGAATTTTCAGCTTTTAGTAACAAGAAGATTTACAACGATAATAGGTATGTTATCGATACTACATACATTTCACAACTGACGGGTTACAGGTTAATAAGTTAACATCACACTCAAAACAGTTTACATGTAGAGGGAGTTCATTTATTGGATAAATGTAGCTTACTGTTATACACCTGTAACGTCATCTACTGTAGTCTACATATGTACACACACCTTATACTCGTTATACTCGTTTTTGAGAAGACTTACAGTGTGGGACTGGCTGCTAAGGAAATCGTCTCCGTCTAGGATATGTGCTGGAATGTAAACAATATATAAAGTATAACTAAAGACCTACGAGCAGCTACGGATCATCTGACCGAGGGCATGAACAGTATTAATCCCTTGCCTTTTGCAGATAATCCGACATATAGGTGCACGATCACATATACGGGGGCTTGGTCCTGGGATTTTATAATACGTAATAAAGGAATGTCAACACAAATGCTTGAAAATAATAATTATGCTTTATATTATTTCTTTAAGCGGTGGGGTATCCTGGTTGTTAAAGCGTTCACCATAGTTCCCCACATGGGTACAATATGTGAAGCCCATTTCTGGTGGCCCGAAGTGTAATTGCTCGAATATTGCTGAAAACGCCGTCAGACTAAACAACTCACTCATTAAATATCCTCATCGCCCCCAGCCCCAACCAACCAAAATTTATGAACGGTCTATACCGAAACATCGCATCCGCTGCTATAAAGAAGTTGTCCATCCATAAAAAAATGGTTCCGGTTCATCATACCAGCTTCTAAATGCCACTCAAAGAACTGAATACATTTACTTTCCATGTATATTTATGGTAAATGAGGCGATTCCCAACTGAGGTATTTACAAATAGCGACTTCATAACATTTCAATGTAAGGTGGTGTTAAAAACAAGAAGATTGTGGCCAATGGCGTCACATAGTCCTTTTAGAAAGAGAGGTTTTGTTGTTGTTGTTGGGGGGGTGTTTAGCAGTGAGACACCCGTCTCTGTATCGAAACGTCGTGCTCTAGAATTAAAGAAGTTGTCATCCATATATACTAGTTCTCTCTACTTCCAGCTTCAAAAATGCCACTCAAACAAGTTACTGCAGTTCAAACCATATTTGCCACTGTTATATCAGTCATATTCCCGTTATACCATATTAAACAACGTTATGTGAGTATATGAAGTACTGTTATACAATCCTGGTTAACCATATCTGCTGTACCGTTTTTCATTTCGATGTACATGTATCAGTAATATTTTACCTTGGTATGTATACCAATCCCTGGTTATTTATCAGAAATATCTTTATGTTTGGAAGGAATTATTTAGAACAGATAGTGTAAAAATAACTGATTTAGAAATGTGTTAAAAAACTTATCTTATCTAGTTGTTGTATATGAAATAGTTATCACAAATCCCACCCAGAAATCTGTATTTGCACCTTATATAATGAATTGTTATAGTCCTTACCTTACTTCATGGGACGTCCTTTCACAACGAGATACATCCTCTGTCTGGCCTATCAAGGGCTTTTCTATTGACACACTTGCTCATGAATACCCTCTGTTTGATGTATTGATAGTACGACCAAGAGGCTGGTATTCCCGGGCGGGGCAACTGAATTCTGGTAGTGAAATAAAATATATTGTGGCAGAAACTTCTGCAGAAATGCATTTTCAGAGCCAATGTTTGACCTTATGAACACTGGCACATGAACCTTTTGGGTTCAGCTCCTCGAGATCATCCCAATGATATAGAATATGTCTTTTGTAGCTTGCTTCCTTCTGTGTGTCAAGTTAGGACTCGCTGGCCATTTCTAAGTTGTCCCGCCCGGCCTTTATTCATAAACGTCCTTTCAAATACCGCAGTGCCCGACCTTATCTACAGCGCTTATCTATAAAGTATAGGTACATCCCCAACACACACAGCAGCCTACATAACCTAACGCTGACTGTTCATCCCTCTAGTCTTCCCTTGCACCCTTGATGGGGTGTAATGAGTAAGCAAATCCCATACCCTCTGATCATGTTTGAGATGGTATAGTCGACAAACATACCCTTTGTGGCTAAAGGTTCATTGCCGTTAAACATATGGGTGCTGGGTACGGTCCTGGTCCTCCGTGCTGTTTGTCATCCGTGGGACAATGCTCAATGAACGTAAGCTACTAAAGATACAGTACTTGAGTTCAACAGAACCGTACCCGTGTCATTGTTGCTTGAATAAAGTCACTAACTCAATAGCTCAGTACGTTGGTTTGGTGTATTCGGTTACGCTTCGGAAATATCATATATTGATTAGATTACGTATAAAAAGGAACAATATTTTTTTATGGACAGACAACTTCTTTATTATAGTAGATGCATGTGTTTATTGGTAGAACAGCAAGCGGTGGCTTCAGTTGTTCAACATCCATGTTGTCTAGTGGTTCATTCAGCTTGTCATCAAAGATGTTTTGTCAGTAGACGACTTTTAACCCAAAAGTTCATATTTTTGTTTTGCCTGTTTGTCGCCAACCCACGCAGGTGTTGTTGGTGGTGTATCATCGTATGTATGGCTGACGTTTTTGTGGCATTGCCTAAACAAATGTTTAAATCTAGCTAAGCCGCATTACACAGACAATAACCATCGGTGTTGACGAATAAAGGTAATATCAACGTGTTTAAATCATAATTTATGAATGTGTTGGAGATACACAGACTTTCCTATCATTGTAAATACATTATGCCCAAACACATATTTAACAGTATCAGAGGACGAATGATTCTGGTGATGCCACAGAATATTGCCATGACTATTCCGTCATGTCCCATCTGCCATGAGGTCAGTAGCTTAACTGTAGCAGTGAGTGAGCGAGTATGGCTTTACGACAATATCACGACGGGAGACACCATAAGGAGACGCCAGTACCAATCAAATATCACTTTCTTATGAAATTAGGCAAGGTAATTCCTTTTTCCATACGAAATCTGTGCTTAAGCAATGTCCACTGTACACTGTATTGATAGCTATACTATCAGCATGTGTGTATTAATCACTGTGGAACAGACATGCAGGATTCCTCTGACAGACGAGCATGCTGCAGGGTCCAGACAATGTGATATATCGGTATCTATCACATCTACCTCACAAATCAACAAACAAATATAATATAAGACTAATGAGAGGTAACAGCGACACCCGCCCTGTCCGACTTGTCTAAACAACAAACCTGCACAAGGAGAATATGTACTGGCGGAACTTCCTTTTCCTAAACACCGTGTGGTCTGCTCGCTCGCTGTCTAGTGCCCCATGTAACGTGTTCGTCCCCTAACCACCGGGACACTCATCTTACAGGAGTGTAGTGTACATAAACGATGAATACATTCTACCTGGATACAAACACAAAATTCTATTACAGCCCGCACCCGCCTAGATGACAGCATAAAACAGGTAAATGTTTGCGAATGACTTGTACAGGCTGAATGTTCCTATTATGATGATGTGTAACATGCGACTTGGATTATTGCACAACTGGACGCTCATCCTTCCTCAGCCGCCCCAACGCCTTCATCCCCATCCAAGTGCGAGTAATATATGTGTATGTTAATAGGGAGGGCCTACACTAGAAGACGCACTGTGTCCTGTTGACACCACACGCCGATGTCGCAATGCACAGTGATATTTCATGCTTGTTACTAGATAGTTTTATGGAAATGCTTACATAAGGTATGCAATGAATTGGTTAAAGGTCACATGCAACCAAAAAATCAAACATAATTAAAACACAATTATCACTTCTTCATGACATATAATATACATTGCTGGTTATGAAAAAAACATATAAACAAAATTATAAGAGTACAATCGCAAATCAAAAGTGCAAAATTGTGTACTTCGGTTTACTTCCCAAGAAACGAAGCAGCCGGGACACCGAACCCAGTCAGAGCGGGTGGGTGTGCACTCAAGTGTAACGGCTGGTTCATTAGCAGATGCCTTCACGGCTCATTGTGTGTGTATATATAGAGATGTTGGGTTTTGTAAATACATGCTCATTTTTTGTGTATAACATTTTGCAATCAACAGACATCATAACACGTCATGTGTTCAAGTATCACACCTGCCTGTCTGTGTAATTACATAATGTGACAGAGACCGAACTCGGGCCATAAATCAATGCGTTTTGTTTATGGTGTATAGCCTGATTGGTGTTAAGTTCAAATTGCATGTGGTCAGTGATCGCAGTTGTGTATTGAATATTGTCATTAGCAGACAGGCAGGCAGACACACAGGTGTCAATAAAACAAGACATTGAGATTTGTCTGTGACAGCGACATATCTATATCACAGTTAGAAATTGTGTCAACGCCAAATAATGACATTGCTTTTAAGTATCGAACTGAGAAAGTGACTCGGTAAGAAGAACGTGTGGTGAAATAGATAAATGAAATTATATAAACAGTTTATTTACTGTCATAACATATAAAAAGCTCGCGCCTGTGGGATATCAACAAAACATTATGAAAATAGCTCACACCAAAGCCTTCACCGAGTATTCACCAGACAGCCCGCCTCCAAGTTGCGCGAACCTATTTCACTGCGCACTATGAGCGCAGCCCAGCTGTTGAAACCCGTATTCCCCAGAAAAGTCTGGGGAAAATTAGTGAAACGTTTGAACTCCGATTTCGCGCGTTTTTTTTCATCGCGTTATTTTTCAACTTTATAAGTTGAATTTGCATTTTTGACGCTTTGTTTCGATAAGTCCATACCGAAAGGTATCAGAATCTGCAAAGTTGTGTTTTACGTTGCATGTGACCTTTAACCTCAGATGTTAGATATATATATGAGTGAGTTTAGTGTTATGCTGCACTAAGCAATATTCCAGCTATATGGCGGCTAGGGCTGGGACGATTCACCAATGCATCGATGAAATATGTTCAGAATGTAAAACTGTATCAAAATCTCAACAAAAATGTGTTAAAGATATTTCGACTCGAGCAACGTGTCTTATTTTTCAGCCAAGTAGTATATTTGGTACAGTCGTGATGGCTTCGAAGGCTAGTAATGAGAAGAAGAATTACAATCAGGCCGAATCGAAACCAAATTGTCATCAAAATCATCAGCGTGACGACCCTTGGTCTAAACAATGTCAAGGACATAATACAAACAGTTTCAGGCTAAATAACTTGAACTAGAACTATGATGCCACGAAGGAATCCATCAGAGCAGTTTGTAACAATATAATGTAAGAGTTTGACTTACCAGCATTCGTATTACTCCAGTGATAGTAGTGTTACGGACAAGAAGCTGCTTCTCGTGGTAACGTTACAACCGAGCAGTGAGTTGCCTGCAGTTCACTGACCTACACTGGGTATGGACAGAATAAACGCCTTCACTTACTTACTGAATAAACACACGTACAAAGGAAAGAAAGTACACACCCGGTGGTTTGGGATCATTTTCCAAAATCAACGAAAATGGTCTCTTTTGTACGTCCGTGCAGTGTACCCTTCAATATAGGCCAGTGCTTCCAGCGATGAATATGTCATGTTTCACTTTCAAAAGTGACAATACCATTTCCATATTTAGAAGTGATCCCTGCTGAAAGCTGAAGCCATAGTATGAAGCCATAGTTACCAGGTATGCTCCTGTCTATAACGTACAAAATACAATCTGAAAACGATATGTCTTTAATGCGGATGTTTTACATGTTAATATATTTTAAACGAAAGTAATGTATTGTGAAGCTTTCATTGAACGCATCTATGTAATGCAGCAACGCGTGTCGCACGTGTAGGATGTCTTTGGTTGTGTTTTGTATCCCTGTTATGTTCGACACGTGCTAATCACATCCTCAACATAAGCGTCTCAGGTTTAGACATTTCTGAGTTTTTCAGTTCCTCAGTACCGGCATCTACAGCAGGTGACACAACATCAACGTCATAAGTGGCTTGAGCTCCAGAAACATCAGGCTGGATGGGTTCTGTATCCTTGACAGCAGTTTGAGTAACCCCAGTAGCCGTCTCCGGAGTAGTCTGAGCTGTCGCATCAGTAAGGTTAGACGTCGAATCCAGTAGAATGACGGACGGCGTTGTGAGAGTGTCAGGTCTGCCGCCGCGACCTGGACCAGGGGCGAGAAGGGGGCTCTCAACGTAGTGAGGGTCTGCAGCGATGACGACTGGCGTGGGCAAGAAGTCGCCGGACATAACGCCTGTGACATAGAAGAGGTCGTCGTTGTTGTAGTCGTTTGGTGCTGATGACTCCCGGGTCTTCGCTCGGCGCCTGACGTGGACAATGAAAGAAAAAACCACCAGGGTAAACACTAGTTATTTAACACCGTCGTCATAAATGCTTTGACTATGGAATATAGGAATATACAGGTTATTTGAATTATTCATCAAAACAAATACCACTTACCTAATAACCCGAGTAGTGACAGAATCCGCTAATAGGTTCTTAACCAGGGCAACAAGCGACACTGGCGCTACAACTTTTGTGCTTTCAACATGTCTTAAGCTGGTACTCCGTGATACGCCTCAAATACTCATCAAACCCGCGTGAATACTTGCCCCTGTTCAGATTATTTGTTGCTATGTTATGTTGTGCACTGGTTGATTCTCGTTTGAGGATGAACAAATCTACTGACAAATGACTTTATACTCACTTATAGCACACACAGCAAATCACCATGGCAACGCCGATGATGATGAGAGACCCCAGTCCTCCGACCACGCCCCCCACCACTGTTGGTACATCCTGTGACTGACGTTCTGTAACAGCATCAGTTAAATCATTAGGTATACATCTCCCGCCCTTTCATCAGCTCCATAGTAACATCCTATATGGACCATTTTGCACGTTGTCTTTCTGTTGCTGTATTGTTGTGTCTGTACTAGAAATGAATAATGTTTGCATACCGGATCAGTCTACGATTTAAAAATCTCATAAGGTTGACTCATCGCCAAGAAAGCTGTTATATCTGCATACAATAACTATAATATTGATGGAATAATTAATGTACATTTGGTTTCAGATGAAATCATGCGGATGCTGTTCCACCTTCTTTAACTGCCACATCGTGATTCATGTTTACCCGCATGGATATCACAACGCTCGCCGTAGTAAGGCTCCGCACACTGACAGAAGACTTTAAGTGACTCCGACTTCCATACACACTGTCCGTTGTTTTCACAGTAATTTGGATCCACGTCACAGGGAGCTGTAAACAAGGGTTTAGAAATATATGTGTAGAGTTTCCCGTCGCAATACGGGCATATTTCAGTATTATAGGTATTATATCGTATAGGTTAAGGGGCGGTTGGGTAGCCTAGAGGTATAAGTATTCGTTCGTCATGACGAAAACCCAGATTCGATTCCCCACGTAGGTTCAATGTATGAAGCCAATTTCTGGTGTCCCTGGCCGTGATATTGCTAGAATATTGCTAAAAGCGGAGTAAAACCTCAATCACTCACTCACTATTACTGGCTAGAAGGTTCGCCAGTAAGGCCGGAAACCAAGGACCGAACTCGTGTCTCAACTTGTGACGGCGTAAATAGTGTCATGCCGTGTTGTCTTTACAACTGAAAAGAAATATACTAAGTATTCTATTCGGTGATATTTCAGTTCACTTATAGGACTCACAGAGGCACTGTTGTGGTGTTCTTGATCCTGTACCGAAAGTCAGCATCGGTCCTTTACACGCCTGACATTTGGTCTGCGCCAACTTGTCTTGATAAGTGCCCACTGGACAGGCTATACACTTCCGTGGTGTCGCCTGTGCATAACTCCCCACTGGGCACGGGACTATTATAGAATAACAAAAGTAAAGTAATTAGTACATTGTACAGATACATAATATCATGAAGTAAGAGCAACTGAACCTGAAACTTTGTAAATCAAGGCATGGGCGGATCCAGGAATTTTGAGAGAGGGGGGTGGGTGGGTGGTTTTCAGGGGGTTCGAACCCCGAAGTCTTAAAACTTTCCAAACTTAGGGTCAAGTCTATGTTGTTCATCACTGTAGCCAACTTTCTACGTCCGTGTTCATATTACTTTACTTAATAATGTACCTCAGCATCATCGAACATGTATTAAGGTACATTTCCTGCTGTTTTCTACGCCTCTAATGTAATCTTGTGAGATGATTTGACTTGCAATGGTGTGAGCTTACCACAATCTCCATCGTGGAATACGTGGCCTGTGTGACTGCATAGCTTCTCCACCAGCCTCCCAGTCAGTCCTACGTAATGGATGCCATACACCGCCTGAAACAGTCGAGGGACTGAACAGATTCTGTGTCGTCTTCCTGCTCTGGAATATCATAAGCATGCCTAACTCTCCTCCATACCCATTGTAGCAATGGTAAGAAGTCAGTACCCTATGAAAATCCTATGAAAAAGCCAGTGCTGTTTTAGTAACGCACACGTGCATCGGACGGAACTCGACGTGCAAAGTTGTCTCCCTTTGATGACATGATCAGCTGAACTTGCCAGACTCGTTCCCATTGTGATGCATCATACCCGTCTAGCATCTAGTGGCAAAGTCCTGGAAATACTGTTACGAATTACTTGAAACTTATATGTCTGGGTTTTTTTAAGCACTGTAACTCACCAGACTTGAAAAGATCTGTTTGTCAAAGAACATCTCTGTCAGTACACTGTCCGTCGTGCGCGTCACGATAACGCCATTAGCGGTGGGCGCTGATGTGAGCTCCTCACTGTACGTGTGGAATAAAAAGGAAGACGAAAAGCCTAGGGTCATTTGGGGCTTTAAAAAGGGGATTGTGTTTTCTTCTAGTCGGTTGACATGTTCATTTTTCAGAGTGACTTGATAAATTTGACATATTCAAGAATGGTGCGAGATGAGATGTATTTTACTAGAATAGACAAATGTAGAGGATACCTATAACCGCTAGTACGAACTTGTATTCACGCGATTAAATATTGATGGTCCAAAGAAACTCCAATCAAAAATTGTTTGGAAAAAGTGAAAATAGATGTCTAACTACATGCAAACAAATTACTACCCGCACTGAAAGCTAGTCATTGTATTGTGTTTACCAAAAGCCAAAATAATTATCTATATCAATACATCAGAAACTACTGTATAGACCATACTATAACAATGCATTCTATTCAGAATTACATAAATGTTTACTCACGGTATGTTCTCCACAACAACCCTGACTGTGAGCTGGGTTGTCTCCCCTGCTTGTCTCCGCCTCCTCACCCCTCCTCCACACCCATCAACGCGCACCGTCTTTGCGTTCCTGCACCCCTGGTGACACACCTTGGGCCACGTGTGACTAGCGTCGGCCATCACGTTTGTTATCCCGTTTATGATGGCTGCCTTGATGACGTCTCCTCTCTCACACGTCGTCGTGTTCAACTTCAGCGTCATGTGATACATCGTCATCAGAACCTCCCTCCCGGGAACCCCCTCTACAACGACCAATACACCATCCATGGGATTTTCAGCCGATATACGAAGCCCTAACCACCTCACAGTATAATGAGGTAGACACAAAGATTACTATATATAGGATACAATTCGTGTGGTTATGGATCTGTTACATACACACACACACGCACGTACGTACGTACGCACGCACAAAACATTTTTCTTTTCAGTAATGTGTCCCTAATGTTGATCATCACTGACACAGCCAATATTTCTCATGTGGGACATGTGTGTGCACGATTGCTAGCAGGGGACCTATGGGACGATAGGCGCGATTCAAAGCCACGGATCTAACGTTACAAGAGATGACGATACAGAAACTGACAGTAAAATATATATGAAGTAAAATATACCCGGAAGAGGTACACATGTGGCGCTGCCAGTTGTCATGGTAGTATAGCCAACAGGACACTTGACACAGTAAGCAGACGACAGGTCGGGGCGCGTGAAGCCCAGATGACATTCAACACATTTCTTGTCGCTATAGCTGTATCCATGGCCCACAGAACACGATTCTGCAACACATGGAACATACATCATTGTTCAGTATACCAAGAAGGAATGATACGACTAATACGAATCCTTGCTATCACACATGTTCAGACACTTTTTTCAAATTCTTCAGTGTAGCCTTGATGTGATAAAAATAGTTTAAACGTAATGTGCTGGTAAAATTGCTGAGACCAAACAAGTCAAAACATTGATTACACAACAGTCTCGTTTCCTGTTGACTGGGTTCCATCCTATTGCGCAACTTAGTACAATGACCAGTCCAGAATTTTGAGACCAATTCATTTAACTGGATACATAAATATTACTCTGTATTATTTGATACATCTAAGCACTTGTATATTGCAACACTAGGCTCCTTATAATCCTTGCAAACATGACGCGCAGCGTGCTCTGTCGTACAGCGAGCACTGACAAACAGAAAACTGGAAATCTTGGAAATCTCAAAACGAGGCTCTGTCGCTAGAAAAGTTTGGCGGTCTGGTACGGACTTAATACTATATCAATCACATTGTGCGTTATAGACCTACACTGAATAAGCGCAAAAAACACGTAACAGGTGTAACCTTTGATAGATGCATTGTGAATCATTTTACGACTTCTTCAAACAGGGGCAGTCTGTGACTTCTTAGTTAAGGTCATGCTGCCTACACCTCGCCATAAAATTATAGAAATACGATGCTATTAAAGATTAAAATTCATTTGTAAATACCATTTTCTTATGAAACAAGAAATTGGAATTCAGTGTAACCATAGTTGTTTGTGATGTCTCTTCACTTTCACACGAGAAAATTCGGATCGGCTGAAAAGTAGGTCATTGTCTGAATAGGTTAATGAGACTCATGTTTCGGTTTGAACTTTGCCTGAGGAACCACTCATAAATACGCCAAACAGCGTATAATACCATCCGGTTTTAAATTATTCGAACTAGATAAAATGAATCCGTGCATATACACGTAACACCGAAGAAGAAGATATTTAAGCATTGGATGATCATCTTGATATTGAGTAAGACGGCGGTACCCTTACCTACACAGAAATACCGGTCTCTTGCACCCTCCATGTTGGTGTTGGTTTCCACTGGACACTGCAAACACTCGGTCCTCTGTTTTCGGGGCTGGTAGTACCCTCTTGGGCAGAGGGTGCAGCCAGACTCTCTCAGTCGACCAAAGGACCCCGGTTCACAGTCGTCTGACAGGATAATGGCATAGTGTTACTTATATACATCCTCCCGAGAAGTATGGTTCAATATTCGGTCAATGTACATCAGTTTTACATTTGCTGTAAGTATTCGAGTATGGTCTTGTTAAACCAGTTGTTGTAAGCTGGACTCCGCTGGTGTACATCGTCACTCAAACAGACTGGTCAGTCATTGCAGCAAAACATTGTTCCTCATCATAATGTACTCTTCCGACAAGACTGGTCCCATGTTGACCCATTAAGTGAAAAAGTGGAATTGTAGTCAACATTCTTCATCTGTGATAACGCCAACAGCACGTGTATTTGTCTTTCTATGAGCTACACAGACATGTTATACTTCTTCAGGACAAGGAGCCCATCACCAACCTTTGGACGCAGTTAGAACGTCCCTCACTCTTGACAACAGAGGATATCTGCCCTGACCACAGAACTTCCCGCCAAAATCATCCTGTCCAATTTCCCAGAACATAGCGCCCCCTAGCTGCTGCTCCCGGATGTATAATGCCTGGAAGAAGATACACTCTATGGCTCAGTTGTCCCGTTTGGCCATCAATTTACTTGCAGTAGAACAATGTAAATGTCCAGGGCATTGTGGAGATCAAGAAACATCTTCTCCATGGGCTGCTAATTATGGCTTTATATCTGACTGCACTTTATATCAGACACGCCTTTCAAAAATCGAACCTTTTTCTCTAGACTTTGGAGATCGTCGTACCCAACCCACTGGTCGCGGCTGTAGATGGTTGGAACGTCGCTGTCATCATCCCAAACACGTGTCCAGTTGGTACTTTGGACAAACTGGCAGATCTGTCGACATTAATTGATAAATGTACAAGTGCTCAAACACCTGCCAAGGTATGATCATTGGAAATAGCTGCTGATGTAATGTAACGGAATATTGTCATATGAACTACACTTAGATAGTCTGAAAACCCTTCAAACATGAACAATTACCAGTCACTCGCGACCGTGTACGTCCACTGTAACATGGATACCATTGTAAATACCTGGCAGCGACCGTGTACGTCCGCTGTAACATGGATACCATTGTAAATACCTGGCAGCGACCGTGTACGTCCACTATAACATGGATACCATTGTAAATACCTGGCAGCGACCGTGTACGTCCACTGTAACATGGATACCATTGTAAATACCTGGCAGCGACCGTGTACGTCCACTATAACATGGATACCATTGTAAATACCTGGCAGCGACCGTGTACGTCCACAATAACACGGATACCATTGTAAATACCTGGCAGCGACCGTTTAGGTCCACTATAACATGGATACCATTGTAAATACCTGGCAGCGACCGTGTACGTCCACTATAACATGGATACCATTGTAAATACCTGGCAGCGACCGTGTACGTCCACTGTAACATGGATACCATTGTAAATACCTGGCAGCGACCGTGTACGTCCACTGTAACATGGATACCATTGTAAATACCTGGCAGCGACCGTGTACGTCCACTATAACATGGATACCATTGTAAATACCTGGCAGCGACCGTGTACGTCCACTGTAACATGGATACCATTGTAAATACCTGGCAGCGACCGTTTACGTCCACTATAACATGGATACCATTGTAAATACCTGGCAGCGACCGTTTACGTCCACTATAACATGGATACCATTGTAAATACCTGGCAGCGACCGTGTACGTCCACTATAACATGGATACCATTGTAAATACCTGGCAGCGACCGTTTACGTCCACTGTAACATGGATACCATTGTAAATACCTGGCAGCGACCGTGTACGTCCACTGTAACATGGATACCATTGTAAATACCTGGCAGCGACCGTGTACGTCCACTATAACATGGATACCATTGTAAATACCTGGCAGCGACCGTGTACGTCCACTATAACATGGATACCATTGTAAATACCTGGCAGCGACCGTGTACGTCCACTATAACATGGATACCATTGTAAATACCTGGCAGCGACCGTTTACGTCCACTATAACATGGATTGTAAATACCTGGCACCATTGTAACTATACGTCACAACTGGAACGGATAAGTTTGCATTTGCCTCAAAAGTTCTGTTTTGACCACTATTCGGACCTGATATGTTATGAGGTATAACTTGATTTAGTCCTCTTACTCCTTGAGGAGCGTAGGGCCTCAACAGTTGTCCTCCACGATTGTTCGAAGTATCAAATAGATAGTTATTGGTTGGCCCCAATGCAGTGGGCCCCTCCAATCCCCTTTCACCCGAAGCCCTCATCAGTGCGTCTACCTGATAGTAAGGGTAGAAGCCAGTAGTTCCGTTCGCCGGGCTGTACAGGGAGGTCAGCTGTTGACTGAGCAACACGTGGTACCGGCCGTAGAAAGGCAGTCCAACCACCAGCTTGTGTCGGGGTGCTCCCTTGTTCGCCCAGTAGTTGATGCTGTAGCGCTGAAACACCGTGGTTGTCCACGGAGACATAGTATTTGAACATTCACTCCGACATGTACTAGATTCATATAATGTTAGACTCGTCCATGAAACATGTTCATGATTTTAGTCGTAAATGATCTACGTGTTTCAAGATAACAAGCTGCGTTGTTGGACTTGATGACATCCTGTCATCAATCACAGGAGGATCAAGGGTACCAAGGATGATGAAGAGATTGCCCAACTACATACCCGGCTGCCTGTATCAAAATGGCTGACCAAAGAATGGGGCCACGTCGTACACACAAGTCAGTTTTACAGTACCTTTACATTGACGTGCGCCCTCAAACAGCGTCAGGTATACCACATGTTTTTACCTAACACTATATACATGCTACGATCAGCTTCCATAGTCAAGGGAGATAACTGACTATATAGGTCCAGTTGACATTATCCCTTGCCTGAGGCTGCTATCAGATTCTGCTACCTACAAGGTTGTACTTCCGGTCTTCTTCCGAGTCCCCGGGTCGGCTAGAGAGGGGTGCATGGTGGAGGAGGCGTGGTCCACGAGACGCGTCCAGGTCGAAGGTCATTACGCTCAGGAAATCCACAGCTCTGAATAACGATAGTACCGAATTACTGACACCTGCTAAGTCCTACTATCGGAAAGCCTACACATACAGCATGTTGGTTGTGGGATTAGCGAGAGAAGGGAAGTACTATTATTCTACTTTCCATGTACAAAAATACCGTAAAAGGATAAAAGGAAACTTACTGGGCAATCTTATCAACCTCGTATCCAGCGTCGACGATGTGCCGGGAGGCGGCGACAGCGGCAGTAAGGAGCAGACGCGGTAGGCCAGTCCGGCTTGCCTCAGTGTTGATCTTGTTCCGGAGACGCTGACAGAAACAAAACAACCACTAAACTTTATCCGCAATAACATGTCGAAACATTTCGTGGTATTGTATTCGAGAGACCGTCTTAAACATTTGTCCTATTTAATGGTGAATGGCGAGGATAGGTTTTACAATCAGGGTGCTACTTGCAAACTGGCACCTGAACATGAAGGTTCGATACGAGAGTACATGTATTGTATATAAGCGTATATAGCATAGCAAACACTCGTCTATACAAGGATTGGCTCTCGTAATGCACCAGGTTCATCACTGTTTGTCACATCAATCATCGGATTCTGATGACAGACCAATGTTAAGCATTGGGTACAGACAGAATATTAGATGTTTGTAACTTTGGTGGCGAATCTGCGAATTCAGGTAACTGTGGCAACCATTGACTTCAATATCCAAGGAAACATGGAGTAGATTCGGACACCTGAAGTGTACCTGTAGATGTGATGTTTAGCGTTTTTTTCTTGCTTTAGTGTTGTTTGCCATTGTTTACGGTACCTGCAAAAGTGTAAATATATTGTATATCGTTGTTTACAGTATCTGTAATAGTGTTATGTACCGTTGTTTACGTTACCTGTAAGAGTGTTGTGTATCGTTCTTTACGTTACCTGTAAATGTGTTAAGTATTGTTATTTACGCTACCTGTGAAAGTGTTGTGTAGCGTTGTTTACGGTATCTGTAAAAGTGTTGTATCGCATTGTTTACGTTACATGTAACAGTGTCTTGTGTCGTTGTTTACGCTACCTGTAAAAGTGTTGTATCGCTTTGTTTACGTTACCTGTAACAGTGTCTTGTATCGTTGTTTACGCTACCTGTAAAAGTGTTGTATCGCGTTGTGTACGTTACCTGTAACAGTGTTGTGTAGCGTCGTTTACAGTATCTGTAATAGTGTTATGTACCGTTGTTTACAGTACCTATAAAAGTGTTGTCTCGCATTGTTTACGTTACATGTAACAGTGTCTTGTATCGTTGTTTACGCTACCTGTAAAAGTGTTGTATCGCGTTGTTTACATTACCTGTAACAGTGTCTTGTATCGTTTTTACGCTACCTGTAAAAGTGTTGTATCGCGTTGTGTACGTTACCTGTAACAGTGTTGTGTAGCGTCGTTTACAGTATCTGTAATAGTGTTATGTACCATTGTTTACGTTACCTGTAAAGGTGTTGTGTATCGTTGTTTACGTTACCTGTAAAGGTGTTGTATCGCGTTGTTTACGTTTCATGTAACAGTGTCTTGTATCGTTGTTTACGCTACCTATAAAAGTGTTGTGTCGCGTTGTGTACGTTACCTGTAACAGTGTTGTGTACCGTCGTTTACCGTATCTGTAATAGTGTTATGTACCATTGTTTACGTTACCTGTAAAGGTGTTGTGTATCGTTGTTTACGCTACCTGTAACATTGTTGTATCGCGTTGTTTACGTTACATGTAACAGTGTTGTGTCGCGTTGTGTACGTTACCTGTAACAGTGTTTTGTACCGTTGTTTGCGTTACCTGTAAAGGTGTAGGGTAGCGTTGTTTACGTTACCTGTAAAGGTGTAGTGTAGCGTTGTTTACGTTACCTGTAAAGGTGTAGTGTAGCGTTGTTTACGTTACCCGTAAAGGTGTAGTGTAGCGTTGTTTACGTTACCTGTAAAAGCGTTGTGTAGCGTTGTTTATCCGCTGGACCACTGCCTCCCTGAGCAGGCCAGACCCAATCTATATCCACGCCGTCGAAGCTGACTCTCCGGATGTATTTGATAACGTTGTCACAGAACGTGTTGATCCTTTCCCCGTCACTCACTACCTCTACGAAGGGGGCGGATCCATGTGCCTGCCCGCCCACAGCCAGTAATACCTTCAGACTGGGGTTCGAATCCCTAAGCTTGACCAGCTGAGCGTATGTCCCTTAAAACAGATGTTTTTGTCAAATGTTTTGAAATTCCTGCCATTAGTTCTTTTATTACATTTATGCCTATGACTCTTACTGATACAGGAAAAAAAACATAAGAACGATGCGTAGCACCTCCATCCGATACAGAGTATAGAACTGAGTTGGAGAGACATATAAAACTCTCTCGAAAAACACTCATTACTTTACTCAGCTGCATTACGTTTAACGAAACTCACCGTCTGGTATGTCGTCGTTCCATTCATACGGCGCGAGAGTGTTACCACTGTCGTTGACCTGAGCGAAAGCGACAATGATGTGGGTGCAGAGGGAGACGTCAGTGATGTTGGCGACAGTGAAGCGAGCGTCTCCAGGACGATTCTGTGACCAGTTGGTCATGTAGCACACTCGAAGATACTCGCCATGACAGGACGCGGTGGAGACCAACACTACTATTTCTGTTACAATGTACAGATGTATGTCAAGACGTGCTGTATGTCCAGTATAGCGACAACATCTAAACAGTTCCCCTTGCCTTGTGTATAGCGCCAGTATATCCAGCAGTGTTCTTAATCATGTGTTCCAGTAGTTTAAATCTTTACTTGAACCTGAGTCGTATCTATACAACTTACGTAATAAAAATCTTCTTAATGTTTTCAGACTCCTGAGACTTGGCCTAAACCATATATCTATCAATCAAGGAAGATATTCATAAATTTTAAAATTACAAAGGTTCAGTCCATTTTGTAATACTGTAGAGAATAAATTACATCTTTTCCCTGTATATAATGATTTTAGGCAAATGTATTTTCCACAGTTAATACTACAAAACTGTATTCAATACTTCCTGTAAAGCATCCCTATTACAACATAAGGTAGCTCTATTTAGTTATCGTGCGCTTGTATTGAGAACAGATTCATTGTAACGTGTGTGTATCATATCTTGTATATGTTGTACATATTATGCATATGTATTTTGCATATGGGCCTATGGCCTTCATGCAATGAACTGATTTCTTGATTGAATGTGTGCCCTAGTGCAGCAATCGGGAGAAAACGTCCAAGTGTGATGATCAAACTCGGTTCCTCAGGTAAAAAGAAGCTGCCTTCCATCAGTTCACCTTTATCTACCCAGCATTATATTCAAATAATTTCAATGATCTAAACACCTACCACAAAATACTGGTCTATATCAATGAAAATCTGGGTTGAAGACAAACACTTGCTACCATTGCTAAATGGTCAACTTAAAGCATACAATTACTACAGAACTCCCTCCTATTTTGATTTGTGATCACAGGATGCACCCTACCTTTAAATAAAATTATGCATACGCGCTTGTCAATATCAGTCCCAACTCATGTAGGACTAGACCCCATGAACATCCGGGTAGAGTAGGTATTAAATAACCCCCATGAACATCCGGGTAGATTATGCATACGCGCTTGTCAATATCAGAGCAAATTCTCAGTTCACTCTTCCATGATTTTGTCCGATTGTTGGACCAAGAACTACAGAGGTATTAAACAACCCCATGAACATCCGGGTAGAGTAGGTATTAAACAACCCCCATGAACATCCGGGTAGAGTAGGTATTAAACAACCCCCATGAAAATCCGGGTAGAGTAGGTATTAAACAACCCCCATGAAGATCCGGGTAGAGTAGGTATTAAACAACCCCCATGAAGATCCGGGTAGAGTAGGTATTAAACAACCCCCATGAAGATCCAGGTAGAGTAGGTATTAAGCAACCTATGCTTGTCGTATGAGGAGCATTCATCGTATCCGTCGTTCGTAGATCATCGCTCATAATATTGATCACTTGATTGTTTGGCCCAGACTCGTGGAGCCGGTGGTGCCTTAGACAACAAACAACCAGTAAAAATGGACTTCACGTTTCATACTTACCTGTGAAGACGGTGAGCAGAAGTCCCACCATAGACCACACCAACGACATCTTCACCAAGGCGGTCTCACTCCACAGTGGGTCTACCCAAAACAATACATAGAATACTATTTGAATATCTACAACTTAGAGATAAATATGTCATATAATTTAAACAGAGAATTCTCAACAATGTTTAATGCTACACAACTTCCTGCCTTGGATGATCTGGGCAAGAACATGTCCATACTAAACCAGGATGGCCGTAGGAAGCGACCAAACAGATGGACTGGTCAGGTGTTAGGTGACATGGTTGATTTTGTGTGATTGTATCCGACGGGCCATTGCTCACAATAGCTATCACTGATTCTAGGCCGCCACCATAGAGACGTAATACTGCTGAGTGCGACGAATATAGTTGCATGGTGATCCCTTGTGAAACCAACATGCAAAGTCATCTTTCCCTTTTATTAATTGTAACATGTTCATAGAAAGGTATTTCTCGCCTACAGACACTCTGTTGTGGGCTATGGTGCAGATCAAATCATAAACAACATCCCCCTTAGTACCATCCACGTCCTGGCTATGACAGGTAACAGCTAGTATCTACCTGACTAGCGTGACTGTGTGCGGACAGTAATTGAACTCTCAGCGTTCCGACCCACTAACTTCTATATCTTACAGGACATCAACCAATCACTGATCACACTTCAAACTGTTCTCAGCCTGGGAGTATAACAATAATATGCCAACTTAAGGGTATACATGACAGGCATGCACGTATTATTTAGATCACAAACAACACAGCAGATATCACATTATTACATGTAGATACATGCATTGTAACCATTATTTCTTGTGGCAATGAATGTATGTAGTAATACCAGACTGGTCGAACTGCCAGCACATCTGGAGGTGGGGGAAGGTGCCCATTCCCAGGTGTCAAATGTGAAAAGGAGATATTCAAGAAATGGTTACCTCAATTAGCGTTATATAAATTCCTTTAGAATATAAACAGTATTGATGTAAGGTGATTAACGGATTGTATCTGAACATTTTATACCTGTTGGTTGTCGTTTCGGCCTAAAGCTCATCCACTAATGGGTCCATTACCTACATTCCTACACATGTTAGAGGATGATCTCGTCTGTGATAACAAGTACCAGCCCAGTGGTCTACAGAACAGGTGACCGTAATTGGTACAAGTATGTCATAGATTGGAAGAAGACACGCCAAGCTGTCTGCTAAACAGTGCATATACAAGTATAGCTCCCCCACTCCCGCTGAATGCACTGCATATAAAATATTTCACAATTACATCAATATTTATCGGACATATCATCTCCGTAGTCTAATACTGTGAACGTTTATCATGTGCACATGCCACCAGTTCATATATCAAACCAAGATCCTTCGTAGTACAGTGTATACTGGTTCAAACTCATTCAGCTACACCGTTGAGACATCCACAAGTCTATAAGATGATGATGTTCATGTTAACACAAGATAATTGAAGACATATGACCCCCAAAAAGAAAACAGAATATTACACCTTACAGACCCCGAGGAAATACTTACTTGAAGTTATCGCCTGCTTAGCTCTCCATCCGGGGCTCACGGCTTGTTCATGGGGTCGTGTTAAGAAGCACGATTTCTAGTTGTCTCAGCGCTTTGAAATCAGTTGTGCCTAATAATACGGTATCGTTTTTAGCAAGATGTACGTTATTATGACGGCCTTCTGTGTAAGCCCACGGAGGGTGGTGTAGGGCGACATGAATGTTGCGTGTACGGGCGCTCACCCAGAACGTTGCAGTCTGTAGATAGATCACAGTAGATCCCACTTACACCCTAGGTCGCCGCGTTCTCATCTACCCGTATCTACCTGTTTCAATGTGCTACTACATATCCAAGGGAGTGAAACGAATGTTTTCAAAATATTCAGATGCGTCAGTGAACGAGACGGGACCTCGATGATATTTGCTGCAAAAGAAATATGTATATGGTCAATGACATTGGTGATAGGGTGACTGGTTTGATGCTATTCACCGTGAGCGTCTCGCTGTGGAGCATGCACGCACTCCCCACGACTGCCCAGCTTATGATGCAGGAAAAGCTGAGTCTGTGACAGATGAAGAGGCGTCTTTATATAGATGCGCGAAACCAGTTGGACAGGATCCGTCTGTTCACGCATCTTCATTGACATATTGAGTATCATCAGATATTTATCTTGTGGAAACAACTGCAGAAGCTCCACGAACCAACGGGCACTAACACTGTAATTACTGTCTGGTCGTATTTCAGATAGTAGGCCTATCACATAGAAAGCCGACATGTTTGGGATATGTTGTCGACGGACAAGTGCAGTTTTGTCACTGCAGTTAAGGTGTATACGACCAACAACCAACCACTGAAAAACAAAACTGTACACTCCACTGTCAGCTATTTCCTCTAATATATGCATATAAGGTTATTGCGTTAAATATGCAGCTTTTTTCATCTTGTTTTAGTTTACGGATCTCTGTCACCAAAATGATGGTCGGTAGGTGGGACAATGAAATAGAAAAGAGTCCAAATTCAATACATACATAGTATTTATACCCAGGGGCAAAAGTAATTGTGATATGTATGGGGTTTTATTATTGGTAAGCTTGTGAATGCAGTTAGGACGTGAACCAGAGAAAAGCGTGTCAAAATAGTCGAAGAAACGCAACCAAGTAGTTATTGGTCGAATTGCACGAAGTTTGCATTACATATTTGAGAAAAATTATAATGATCAGCAATGTTCACTATAAAAGGCCAGACAACCAGACACAACTCATTTCCACTCAAAGCAGTCTTAAGAAGTGCTGAAGTAAGAAAAAAACTCCACTCATTGTTCTGGAACATGTACGACAGGTCACGCCTTGGGGAAAATCACAGAGTGAGAGCTAAAGGTATGCTTCACTCTGATACCTCGCATCGTGACGTTGCCTCAACGTCCATAGAAACACCATGTTTGCTCTTATGGCGTCGTTTTCCAGCAAAACAGTCCGTGCAACCCCGAACAACGAGACAGGTTGTCTTCTGATTTTCCTCTGTCATTTTAGAAAGTGGTCACATGTAACATATGTTATATTTGGGATTACATGTGGCCACTTTCTAAAATGGCATTGTGTACTTCATAGCTTTCGGCCGTGGGAGCCGTGCCAATTAACACTTATCAGAGGGGTACACAAAGTCCGCAGTCTAGACTACCAGTTGTCCGACTTCCATTTTTTATGGAAGCCGCGGTGGCTGAGCGGTCTAGGCGTCTGACTTTATGTGCTGGCGATTAGGTGCCTGACTCTGAGGGTGCGGGTTCGAATCCCAGATGGGACTCAACCCCAAAAGTACTAGAATCTGTACTTTACTAAGAAAGTGTAATCCCAAATATAACATATGTTACTTGATTATGTTGTTTAAAATAAGGCAAAATGTTGTTTCTATGGACGCTGTTCAAATCGACGCTGCGAGGTACGAGATGCCGAACTTGTTCCAGAACGGTGAATTAAAGTGTTTTCTGTCTTCTGCACTTCCTAAGAACGCATACAGTAGAAATGATAAGAGCCTAGTTGTCTGGCCTTTCAAAGTGACCACTGCAGGCCATTTTTCTGGAATATCTGCCATGTTTCTTGGTTGCGTTTGACGCACTCAAACACAAACATTCATTCACAAGATCACCAATGTAATAGCGGTATGTCACAATAACGTTTTGGGCGGTGGGGTAGCTTAATGGTTAAAGCGTTGGCTCGTCACGCCGAAGACCCGGGTTCGAATCCCCACATGGGTACAATGTGTGAAGCCCATTTCTGGTGTCCCCCGCCGTGATGTTGCTGGAATATTGCTAAAAGTGGCGAAACTCTGTCAGTCAGTCACAATAACGTTTTCCTCTGAGTATGTTATCGCCTATCAAGGCAAGTCCAAATTAAGTGTATGAAGCGAATGTAAAATATCGATGCTCATCAGCGTCTGTTGCGTGGTAGCCGGTATTATTCTTGTTAGCATAATGGAAAGTGATTGTTCCTCTTAACGGCAATCGGTGGAATCAAGCAACTATTGCTAGCCGGCTATCCTGATATTCCCTACATACTTCAAAGTGCATCCATTAATCTGATACAAACAACTGAAAGTACATCAGTGTAATCTTAAAGTTTAATAAGCAGATTTATTTAAAGTCGGATACTGGAGTAAACAGAATATAAGCCTTAAATTTTAAACTTATTGGTACCAGCTTTGTTCGGTTGTTCTCACAACAGTATGCCCGATCTATACATCCAATACAATGAAAAATGAGACAAACATGATATGACATGTACAGTGGATCTATTTTTAGAATGTATTATGATTATCTCCCTTTTTCGCGGAATATCCCTCACAACAAATATGGCCGACGTCTGTTGATATTTTGGTAGCGTTACCAAAAGTTTTTTATCTTCTTTGCTGAATCTAAGGTGCATCGAGCTTTGAAATATTGTCATTTGGATACCATGGATACCGATCCCGTCATTGTCATGAGTGACAGTCTCAGGAGACTCGCCAGTTTCCAGGAATACCCTCTCCCATCACCGGGGGGCAGGTACCACGCGTCTTTGTTGAGGTATAATTCACCACTGAAGTTGGCAAAAGCAGGGTTTTTTCGCCCACCTAATGCTCGAGGAGATGAGGTGAAGTGTTTCAAGTGTTCTGTGTCCTACCGGGGCTGGTCAGGGGAGTCACCGATGGCTGTACACCGTATCCTTAGTCCAGACTGTGCCTTCTTAGCGAGACACACACCGGCACATTTGACAGCTCGAACAACCGGGAGAATCACGAACAGGTGCCCCCACTAATGTTCGGAGACGTCTACTAATGGGCTCACCGACGTCGACGGAGGATACAGCTGATGTCACAACAGTTGGAACCCAGGAACAAAGTATTTTGGCCGTGTATGACCGCTACAATACTCCCAGAACACCTGAGAATTCTGACAATGAGACTGATGGTGACGGACAGAGTGGGTCCATGTTGTTTGAGAGTCACAGACTTCTCACCTTCCCCAGCCCCACCCACCCACGTGCTGAGGAGTGGGCAGGGTCGGGATTTGTGTACGAGAGGGAGGAGGGTGGTGTTAGGTGTGTGTTCTGTGAGCTGCAGGTGACATATAACGAAGGTGAACCTGCAACACTTCACCGGGAAAAGTCCAAAAATTGTCCTCTGGTGAAGTGCCTGGACATTGGGAACATTCCACGAGACTTAGAGAATAAGATTAGATCACAACATCTGGAACAGTCTTGTGACAACACCTGTGTGAGTGGTGACCCCATGTTTAAACATCCTCAGTTTGAGGAAACACAAGACAGACTGGAGACATTCAAGTATTGGTCTAAACAAATCAGACCCACAGCAGATCACCTTTGCAATGCAGGGTTTTATTTCACTGGTAAGTTACTTTGTGTCATATAAATACTATATGGACAAACATAATATTAACAAAGTTTCAGATTGTGTTATACCAAGATACACATGTTGCTGATATGCCTGTAAACATGGTAAAGTTGTTAACATGTTGAACAAAGTATGCTATTTCTTGTTTTATGTGCTATGGGTTATAACAAAATATTCTATTTTTTTTAAATGTGTTGGATATTATTCAGTTATACTTTAACTATACTGATTACATTTCTAAGGTTTATATATGTTAGTCTGATGCAAAATGACTTGGTTGACACATGTCATCATATCCGAATTGGGCGGATCGATGTTCATGCTGTTGACCACTGGATTGTCTGGTCCAGACTCGCTTATTTACAGATCACCACCATATAGCTGGAATATTGCTGAGTGTCATGTTAAACAACAAATAAACAATTTCTTTATGATCAGGTGGGTTTCAGCCTAATACCTGTGCTTCTGAGCTTCTCCATAGTAGAAAATATCTCAGGCCTGCATTACTGCAGAGTTTCTTCCCACATAAGACTCCCACAGATTTAATAATAATAATCTTTATTTGCACTGAGAAGGCCACAGGCCTATAGTACATAAAGTTATGTTACATTTGAGAGGAATTTAGATCGGGTAATCATAGCATAGTAAATGAACATTGAAATATTTTGTAGAAGAACTGGATTTTTACTACTTAACAGTGAGGAGAATTTTATCACATTTGGATGGACATAGTAATATCTTTTAATATATTTTATTCGAAACCGGTCATAAAATGGACATATTAGGAGAAAATGTAATTCATCTTCTATTTCGTTAAAATTACAAAGTGTACATATTCTATTTTCTCTTTTTACATTCATATATCTGCCTCCCAGTCCCACAGATAAGAGACTAAGACTCCCAGTACCTGACATACCATTCAGAGCAGCACTTTTAATCTCTCTTTTTTTCCAGTGCACAAAATTACAACTTGTGTCTTATATAATCTTGTTTAGGATACACAGATAGGGTTGTGTGTTTCGCCTGTGGGTGCAGCCTAAGGAATTGGGACCCAGAGGCCGACCCCTGGGTACAGCATGCCAAGCATGCCCCTCTCTGTGTGTATGTCAAGCAGCACAAGGGAGACAACTTTATCATGGACGCTCAGGAGGCTGAGGTTAGTTGTAGCAGATAACAGATATTTCTTTGTATATACAAAACCTATTATTTAGTGCACCATATATTTTAGGCATTATTGTATTTGACTGCTGTGTCCAACTGTTTGAACTGTTCATTAGATAACTATATCAGAGTATATCACAAGCATACATATGTTCTTTAAAAGATACCACTGGAATTTGAAAACTATTGCAATTAGAACTTGATGTATAACTGATCGTAATGAACAAACTTACATTGCCATTTAGCATATGTATTTACTAGATCATATATTAACACTAAAAATCAATTGATAGCCCTACGACTATCATAAGTCTGTGTTAAAGTATTGGTGATGTTATCATCCTCGTTGCTATGATCACTTTGTGTCACTTTAGGCCCAACTGAATTTCTACCTGACTATATTGACTTTTGTCTTTTCCAGATTCTGACAGAGACTGACACAGTTGAAGGTAGGTGGTAGGCAGTGTCTGCTGTATCATTCAGTAATTAGATATACTGGGTAGATTTTAGACACTGATATCAGTTTCATCTTCTAGCTACTATATCAACTAAGGCTGGTCTTGGACCACATTGTTGCCTTGTAAGGAAATAACTCTGAAGAAATTTTTGTATATTAACAGTAAAAAGAAATATGAACCAGTTATTGGGTTTAGTGTTCAGTGTAGACATCACATGTAGATCTCATTTAAGATTTTTAAAAATATATATAACTGGTAAAGGGAGATTACTAACTGTGAGATTTTTTTCCATTTTTAGTAACTGAGATTTTTGCAATACCTTTCAAGTCAGGTTTGATGAAATATTCCTGTAACTTACTTAATGAACATATCTCTGTTCACAGACCAGGGCAGCCTCTCTGACACCCCCGCCTTGCAGTCCCCGCTGCGCCCCAGTCTGGACATGGCGGCCATCAAGGCAGCTCTGGCATGTCAGTATGACATTCAGCAAATCCGTCAAGCCGTTCTCAAATTCTTTATCTTGTCCCGTGAGTGTACTGAGCTCATGTTGGAGTAACTGGAATATCCTGCTTGTAACCTTGCAAAATGAACTTGATATTGCTATCGATAAATATCATGGTAGTCTTTCATATCCATCAGACAGGTCCAAAAACCTATTTAAAATGTAAATTATCTCCCTTTAATGTGTTGTATTAATTCACTTTTTACGACACAAGTGTTACAACTTTCCACCTGTAATAAAGTCCCATCACTGTATCCTTATGCACCTGTCCTTTCTATACAGGTGGGTTCTACCCTAACGATGCACTCCTCCTCGGCACACTGCGAGCATCCGATGCCAATTTCTCCCAGCTACAGAAACAAAGGGAGACAATATACACAAATTACATGAGTCTCATCAGACAGAGTGAGACCCTCCAGCAGAAGAACCAGGAGATAGCAAGGAATAAAGAGGACATAGAGCGGACCCAGGAGGAGTACCACACAGAGCTGAGTCGGGAGCAGGCACAGAGGCGGTGTGAGGTGCGGGACCTCAAGGAGCACAACAGGGACCTCAAGGAGCACAACAGGACACTGACAGACAGGCTGCAGGGCCAGGCCCAGGTCATCCAGAGACAGGTCCAGGTGGTGCAGGACAAGGACCATCACCTGGGACATCAGGGAGAGGAGCTAGACAGGAAACAGAGGGCACTGGACAGTCTGGCTGAGGAGAACAGGAGGAAGGATGAGGAGAACAGGAGGCAGGCCGAGGAGATGATGAGGCAGGCCGAGGAGAACAGGAGGCAGGCCGAGGAGCTGGAGAGACTCAGGCATCTTCTGCAAGGTTTGTTTGCTTTTTTAAGCTACTGTTTATCTCCCTTGTGTCACATCACAAGTGACATTCATTCCCGTGGTGGATTGATGTTTGTGTGGAAGTCACCTTACTTAGAGAAGTTATGAATACATCAATGCCATGTAGAAAGTGTTCAGATGTGACATAATTATGTCATATGTTACTTCATGTTGTGTATTGTTTGTGTAGCATACAAGTGATATGAATACACAATGCCATTTTGAAAGTGGTCAAATGTGACGTGTTATATTTGGGATTGCACTTTCTTAGTAAAGTACAGATTCAAGGACTTTTGTTGGGTTGAGTCCCATCCGGGATTCAAAAACACACATTCAGAGTCAGGCACCTAATCAGCCAGCACACAAAGTCAGATGCCTAATCCGCTTAGCGTTGCTACCTGTATACATTTAACACAGACACATGATAATCACATGTGAAAGCCGAGGTGGCTGAGCGGGTTAGGCATTTGATTTTGTGTGCTGGCGTTCGAATCCTTGATAGGACCCAACCCCACGACAGTACTAGAATTTGTACTTTACTGAGAAAGTGTAATCCCAAATGTAACATATGTTACATACAAGGGATAGTTGAAGTAAATTGTTGTTTCAGGGAACTTCCACTAGGATTCTGTACCTATGCTGCTTTTAAGACCTAAAAATATGGTCTGCAAGTAAAGTATATATTTTGGGCATTGAACTAATTTGTATCATATATGACAAAAGTTTCCAGTGATTTAATGTCATAATTAAACACCAGAACATATGTTCTCCCTGTGAGGACAAGCCCAGGTTGTAGTTGTATCTTATAACCTGTTTAAGGATTCATTGCCTTTTGAATCTGCAGCTAACAACATTGAGAACAACGGGCCAGTCAACAACAACGCTGTCGCCCCTGTTGCCCCTGCCGACCCTGTTGTACCAGCAACCCCTGCTGTCCCTATCGACCGTCGCTGTAAGGTGTGTCTGGGTGAGGAGGCCCAGTGTCTGTTCCGCCCATGCCGACACGTGTGCTGTGGGACTCAGTGTGCCCCTCGCTTCATCGGGAACAGGTGCCCCATCTGCCGGGACAAAGTCAGAGACTGGGAGATTGTCTTTGTGGCCTAGGATAGAGAAACAGGGTTTTGTTGTATCATTTGCTGATCACAAGTATATTTTCACAAGGAAATATTCCCCATACTTTTCATATATATATATATATATACATTATATATTCCCTTTCTGAAAACTCTTCAAAATGATGATATAAGAACAATATTTTTCTCAAGTTGAATTGAATGTGAAGTTGCATATATTCTCCTCCATCTCATTACATAATCATATGCTGAGAATTATTTGATATAACCAACACAGATACCTCTTCTGAGGGACATGCTGGTCATGCTGTTTAGGTTTCACAAACATTAAATGTTTACTTCTACAGCTATAATTCTCAATACTGTCAGGAACTATGTTAGATCGAGGTGTGTCTCCTCCTACTGCATGGACATACACACATATGGCAGGGGTGCAGCTCCTAACTGGGGGCAATTAGGGTTCTAGGAATTAGTTTTTAGTCAGATAGGCACCTGTATATACCTGAATGTATATTAAGGCTGTATGTATTCCATCTGTATCTGTCTGTGTTCTATTTATATCCATGTCTGTCTCTGTCAAGCTGCTGGCAGCTATACCTGTTATTCTGTCCTGGTGGATAATCTCTTATACCACCCTCTGTCTTTATAGATATATTTTACACATGAAATATACTTTTAGAAGTTGAAGATTTTTATTTATTTTTCATGTTGTTCATAATTGTTGTACATAAGACATAGTAAGGGGCATGCCACTTTGTCTGTGGACTCTCATATTCCATATTACCCAGAATGTACTCTTCAATCTGACAACATTGTCTGTTTCTCTTTATCAGCTTGCCATTCTCATTCTTGATATTATACAAGTTCTAGTTAATATGATGTTTGAGATGAATTTTGTTTTATGATTGTAAATAGCACTTGGTGTACAGAAGAGGGTATGCATTTTCATCATCAATCATACCATAGATATAGTAACTGGACAGTTTTCTATGAATGTATCCACATACCCATCTCACAGTTGATGTACTTATGTAATTAGAGGCAGCAAACTTGTTAGGATGTTTTTTGACATATTTTATTCCACACCATTTCATCATAACCAGTCATCAGTACATCACACATTACAGTCAGAGCTGCTCCACTGCCATCAGAGATATCCAGTTACTGTATTACCATGGTTACCAGAGCAGGTTATGGTTACAGCAGGTTATTAGTGATGTCACATTAGTCCACACAGCAGTAATATACACCATACATGTACCCATATATAACTTCAGAATTTAGGTGACACAAAGTTTTGTAAAGATGCTTTCCACAAAGGCGTTTCTATACCATCTCTCAAAACAAACTGCTACATCTTATAGTGTATATTAGAGCTCCAGACAAGATTTAGCTCATGTGGGTACTGTACCCACTGTACTTTTTTGGAGTGGGTATTTCATTTTCCGTTACCCACTGCTTTCAAATATGTGCATATTTCAGTCATTTTACTCACCTAAGTATTATGTCGTTGAGTAAGTTTACTAAGCAGGTATGTTCTGCCTTATGCCATACCTAATCAAAACCAACTTAAATATAAGGGAAATGATTTCATAAAAAATCGCTCATCCTGTACTGACAGTACAACACTTGTCCTATTCTAACAGTACAACTTGATAACAATCAATGTCATTTTCATTACGCAAGCGATTGTTATAAAAATATTCCATACGCATTTGTTTTAAACTTTTTGCATATCTAACATTTTAAATGCGTAATTGGTACGCAACAATTATTTTTCAGTGCGTAATTGTAAATTTTGTATGCTTATTATACCCGGATAAGCAGCTTATCTAGGCCTCTGTGATGAGCCTAGGTTAATCAGTGATGCATGGTAAAACATGAACTGGCTGATATCAACGTTATGGAACATTGAGGAATTCATAGCTAACAGCAGAAATATAGAATTGTGGGACATGGTGTATTTGACTCTAATATTGCAATAATCAAGATTTACATATGTGACATCCTAGTGATTATCATGTGTGTATGTTGAATGTATACAGGTAGCAACATCTACATCAGCCTCAACATCTACGCATACAACATTACATGTGACAGTGACATCCTTCAGGCAGCTACAGCAACATATAAACATCATGTCATACAACTGGTTCACATATGGAGAGAGAATAGGACCATTATCCCCCCTTTCTCTTAACATTACAAGCTATGAAATATTTGTACATTATTGAAATATTTGTATATTATAAATATATGGATAAAATATATTACCACTGATATCTGTGTAGATATGTTATGCTTGTAAATATGCAAATATGGTATGTTAGTACATGCTGTTATCTTATGTCTGTTATACATGTATTATGTTTATCTCATTGTGCTTATCCATCTTTGCGATTGTGCCATACATTAACTTGGTGAAATACGTTTTACACTATCAAGTGTTTTAACACTCAAAGTGTCAGCAATATGAACCCTCAGCTGTAGAACTGTATGAGTTTGTATTTGGGACAACATGAAGCCAGCGTCACTTGAATTGGAAGCCAACGTTTCACATATTTTGGGGTGCATGTACCATGTAGCAAAGTGAGATTCTCCCCTCGGCAGTGACTGCTTATGCAGGTAGTTTTACCAACATTGCTGTTCGTTTCCATCAGCCAAATATGAACATTTTCTTATTTGTTAAGACCTTATATTATTTTGCTACGGTGATTTGGGTCAGGTTTTTAAATATAATATGAAGGTTTTCATATGAATCTATAGATTAGAGTTCTCAAAATTAGAGTTCTCAAAAGACATAGTCATATGTTTCATATCATACTGTTCTTGTGCACTTATATTTCCGAGTTTTATCAATAGAGTAGACCTGTGAGTTTACATAGTCATTCTTAAAGATTAGTAATATGTTTGATAACAGCAGATAACAGAACTTTAACTGATATTTTAAACCTCATTTTTGATAGTATCCTTTGTACAAGAAAAGGTTACTTCTCTGAAAGTTTTTTGGATTTGAAGATTATATTTAGGGTATGGGTGGATGTTCGACAAAAAGCCTTTATACAAAAATATAATTCCTGTTTAAAAGTTCTTGTAATATTTTTCTAATGTCTTCACATGGTTACTTTCATTATGGTGCATTGCTTTCATATGTATTCCGTTATGAGAAAATACTTGGTATGTTTGATCAAGTCAAAATGACGTTTTCAAGGAAAGTAAACATTTCACTTTTGAAGATTTTTCACAATCATCCAAACTCAGCAATATTAGTCTAATGACTGCTGTTTTTATATCATCAGTTTTTATGTAGAAAGACCATTGACTGGCATCATTAGCACCGGCCAAGCAACTTAGATACACAATGCCAGACATGATCACTAGAGGCCTTACATAGGGTAACCATGTCATACACAATGCCAGACATGATCACTAGAGGCGCTACATAGGGTAACCATGTCTCATACAATCTCAGATCTTTGTATCAACCACTGATAAGTTTGAATATTTGAAAAAACATATCTTTTTACGAATTCACTCTCATTATCATTTTTAAAAATTCAGTGAATTTGAAATGGACATTGTACATCTAGTGGAGTCAATATTTGTAGCACATTTTCTAAGTTGCAAGGAAATTGGAATAAATAACATACAACTCTACCCCCACTTTGTTTTCACTACCTTGCATGTTGATGGGAGTTTGTTTGTTTAGTTGTTTGTTTGTTTGTTTAACCTGGCAGTCAGCAATGTTTTAGTTATATGTCTGTATTCAATAGATAACTATGTGTGGACTTACAAACCAGTGACTGACATCATGAGCATTGATCCACACAGTCGGTATGACAGGTATCAACCAAGTATATACAAGCCACCAGATCTGTCACTTCTTATGACAGGCATGGATTTCTAAATACCAATCTAATCTTCACTGGTATCTTGAAGAAACGTGGAGTCTCTGTTATCAAATAACCACATTCAAGTATGTGTTATGTTATCACTTGAAGTTGTTATACATAAAGTATGGACATTTGGCTTATCATATGGACGTTAGCTAGGTTTTTAATACCTGATATCAAATGAATGTAGGTTAGCTTCTGTTTGAAGCGCCCTTATTATACGTAAGGTAGGTAGGTGTACATGTGAAAATCTAAATTTAAAACACTGCTTAAATTTTCATACTGTGCACGAACAATCATACTTTCGAAACATTGCCTAGGAATACCGGTGGCTTACCTAAGGTATGGCAAGTATGACAGTGCTGTGGGTGTCACTTGAAGCCGCGGCGCCACTGAGCACTTTCTATTCAAGTCAGATAAAGGAATTTTCTTCAGATGTATGATCTGTCTTTGATTGTCATGGACGAGAGGCACTGCAGTGGCTGAATTGTTAAACCATTCATATAAATTAATACGTAAAATACAGTGCTGGATTTACGTGACCAGGTACCTCATAGTACCACTTGTCCAATATTTCCAAGATCTGTATAACACAGGTCACTCCCTTCTAAAATATCAACATTTTGGGGAAATACTTCTTGTATACCTAAATGTGCCTTCAAATCTCAAAATGTGTGACCGATCTAGTTTCCGCAACCCATTCATTCTTTATTTGAGTGCTTGTCATATACGCTATTTTCCGTAGGTAGGCCCGGTACTATCCCGTGGGGTTTCCGGTAGAACAGGCCCCCAGAACTATATTACCTGCAAGGGGGAACTAGTTTTGATCTCGTTCGTTGACTGTGTTCCAAATTGACTGCGTGTCTACAGCACTGTTCACAATATCATGGGTTTGTCTGGCCCATGCAGCTCTATTCACGCTCCCGTTGCGTGTCTTGCATGTTGTAGACTGTGAACGTGAACCATCTGGAAAACAAAAAAAAACATATACAGACCGCGCAAGATACTTACATAAGGAAAAGATTTCACTGAGTTAAAGTAACAAACTCATTTATGATTTAATCAGTCTGATGCCAATGTGAGAAATCTCTATGACACAAGAGACAAGCCATTCTCGGCTTATTGCCGACTGACTACAGATCAATGTGCAGGTAGTTTCTAGCCCTTGCTGTATCCCATGGTCATCTATCACTGTTTGTCTGCAGAAGGTCACCATGACGACTGATACCGACGTAATCATCCGATTCTACACAGTGATAACTTGTGGACAGAATATTTGGATGGAAAAAAAAATCAAAATTAATTTTAAGAATTCCATGAATCATTGCCAGACTACAGAGTTGCATGAGTGTCTTGTGAACATTGCTTATTGTTTACATGTCCTTTTCTGATGAGCGAAATATTCACATATTTGATCGGTGCCATAGCTACTACGTAGCACAATAAGCAAACACTGACACTTTAGTTGTAATATATAATAAACAAAGAAATAAATAACAATGCTAAAGAATGTCAATGTTTTCTTGTTGCGTCAACTGGGTTTGTTCACAGCTACCATACTGTTCTACACTTACAGTGTGTTATGTTCTGAGCCTGCCACGGACATCATTGTGAAATCTCCGGTAGATATTTTGTATTGTTCTGCTCGTGTTGATAAGTGTTTACAATTTCACTTCCACTCGCTAAAACTCTGTTTACATGAAGTTAAGTTCTTTCGTCATACTAGTTATACACTTGGCATTATTTTTCTACACGTTTATCACAAGTCGAATCATTATTCAGCAAGGGCACATGGTATCTGCGACTATCATCCTCCAGATAAACACCACATGAACTTCGGCATCTAACAGAAACCACTGCAACATGTGTGGTTAATGAACACCTGTTTTTGAACTGCGTGTAGTTCATATACTGGCGTCAAACAAATGACGATGAAAGGTCAAAATGACTGATTATCAGTGCAGTTGTCGAGCCCACGATAGATAGTGTGGACATGACAAAGAAACATGTGAATCAAGGGTCTATGAGCAGTGTACATTGTTCATTGTCAAGTGGCCACAATAAAGAATGTACTGTATAACGTATTTTGTTTTCCTTAAATGCCCGGAGCGTCGAACGCCATCGTGTTAACGCCTAATTACCTCCTAAATACCCGAGACATCGAATTTATAAAATTTCAATATTCTAGAGTCCGGGTGAACAGCGGCGAAGCTGACCCTAAGACCATTGGACCGTGTCTCAGTCAACCTGTTCTCGACAGCAGACATCGACACACTTTCATGTCAGTGAGTACAACCGAGAGGACAAAACCTTACACTTTGGTTTGTCAGCCCATTATGACGTCAGTACACTGTGACGTTACAATGCCGATGACGCATCACATAGAAGATCATGTTAGACATCGCACGTTAATATAAAAGCTCCGGTAAGTGTCTCAAAGTGTCTTCATTGATTAGCATAATATTACATTCTAATATATCAACCTCATGTTTGTCTGTCTTGTTCAGGGTAATACGTCCGTATAATGATTGTCAACCAATGATTACCCCAGAAGTGTAGATCAATGCTTAAGATGTTTTCCACTGGATTGTTTGACTCGGTTATTTACCGCGATGTAGCTGGAATATTGCCATGGCGACGTTATACAACAACAAACAACACCAATAACTCAGATCGGTTAACTGGGCCCGCCAAACAAAAGCACACGTTAACCCTAGACAAAACCTGTATTTCATTTATATTATTATAAATATTACAAGAAGAAAACCAAATGCATTACAGTCGAGCACCCTTGTGTCGAACTCTGATAACTTGATATCTCGGTTGTCTCGATATAACATCTCGGTCCCGGCAAAATCCTTCATAACTTATCATTATTCAAACTCTTTTAACTCGAAACAGATGTTTCGATGTTTCGGATATCTCGATATAATTTCATGGTCCCAACAAACAAAATTACCATTTTAACTCGATATTTGCAAAGCAACTCGATATTCACCTACCTTTCATTGGCAAGTATTCCTCTGAACTGAGGTTGTTTCCACACGTTTACACACGGTGCGGCATGAATCTAAGGGATGCGGTAGTGTATATAGATACCCACTCTTCTATCCTTATAGGCTGACCGTGAGATAAATCATAAATCCAGAACAAACTCACAGTGCACTCATCTTGTTGACTGGTATGCCGTGATGACTTCAGCACATGATCCTTTCATATTGCCGAGGTTTTTACAGGAATCTCACTAATGTGAGGTAGACAACCCGTAATTCCCTGTGTGGGTTCCTATTCTGCCAGTAGACCCCGGGCCTCATGCCTGTAGAAGTCAACTGAGATGAGGATCGGTTGGTCACACTTTGTTCCCTAAGACATCATCGTTGCAGATATCATTGTTGCTTTCAATCATTATTTAATGAATGAATTGCAAGCGATTCCAAGGTGACCTGTGATTGGTTAACCAAGCATATATTTTGCGTTTATTTCCCTATATACTATAAAGAATTAGGACACACCAAGACATCGCTCAACGATTTTCTACTCTTGTCTACAGTACGTCAGTGACTAAAGAAGACGTTTTATTGTAGGTTTATTTATTTATAAGAAAGTATTAAGTAGAGGGTAATGTCCGAGTAACTCTCCATTCCTTAGAAATATTGGAGCCGAGGCCCCGGAGGATATTACCCTACTTAAATTACATTCAAAGTATTGGGAATGTTTCTGTTATCAAAATGAAATGTCAAAATGACAAAATGAAGGCTTTAATTTGAAAGTGGTACACATCGCTTCATTCCTGAAAAGTAATGAATGACGTCATAATTGTAATGTATATATGTGTTCCGTATTGGGAGGCCAAACACTATTTGCACATTTTGTGCCAATCCACTGTCCGCCATAAACGCAAGAAATTCATGATTTACCTTGACAGGGGAGACCGGGGGCAATTATAACAAGGTACAGTTGTAACAAGGGCGATTACTCTAAAAGTTTTCGCTCAAGCATAGTGTAGGTGAGTAAAGTTATTTCCCTTTGCTTTCCTCTGGTTCACATCCAGGCCTTTTTCAGCTGCTCGCTCATGGCGAGATACAGCTGATGAAAAATCGTTTTTCACATAGGTTAGTAAATTTTTCACAAAACGTAATAGAACGTTCTTAATGCAGTAAATGTTGCTTGGTATGAAATTAACTTTTTAAGTGTGAAATTGAGGTATTACGACATGTTTTGAAGTAGAAATATTTGAGAAGCCCAAAGTGGTTAACATGTGACGTGGCATGAAACATGGCTACTACCATCGGGGGCAATTGTAAAATAGTGTTACATGTAATTTTCCATTGTGCTATGATGATGAAGCACATTTTGATGAAGGTTTTATGTTAGTTATTTACTAGTTTTATCATAGAAGAACATTTTAAGTGTTATGTTGATAGTATTAGCCCTCGGGTGACAGTTTTTGGTGCTAGTCGTTGTATTATATTTTGGGCATACGAAAACAAGAAGTTTAAACCAAAACATTTTAAATGTCGATGGTGACAAAGGTTTAATCCTAATCCATTTCCACCTCAATTGATCAAGATAACATCTTTCTACACTTTATTTTGATTTTATTTGGAAAATAAACAGATTGTTACATTTAAACCTTCTTTGTTACAATTGCCCCATCCACCTGTTACAATTTGCCCCGTGCTAGGGGTCAATTGTAACACTTGTAGTCATTACAATTTATACGTAATAACTTTATAACGACATGATAGTGAACTTTAAATGACACTGAGGTTTAAAGCCAAGATGCCAATGTATTAGTTAGTACCGATTGACTTTGTGAGCGGTCGACTAGTATCAAATTACAAGAAGTTACTAAAAAGTGTTACAATTGACCCTGGTCTACCTGAAATATGGAAACACCTTCTAGTGGTTACTCATTCATTATAAGTTAAAGTATTGAAACGTGTTCCTGTGGACATACAGGTGACATCGACCAGTCACCCAGGCTGACCCCTATGTCATCAGATGCTGCGTCCTCTGGGCAGAAGGACGAGGATGATCTCCATCCCCTGAAAGACCAGGGCTACTCTCTCGGTCGTCAGATTGGCGCGGGAGCGTACAGCCGGGTCTTGCTCCTACACCGAGGTCACCAGGCACGTGCAGTCAAGGTCATCAGCAAGGTGGGGTGTCCCCAGGATTACCTGGAGGACTTCCTCCCACACGAGCTGGACATCTTCCCGTCACTGCAACACGAGAACATCGTCACGTGTCACGAGATCTTGGAGTCCCCGACGTCCTACTGCATAGTGATGGAGTATGCAGATGGCGGAAGTCTGCTGGAGCGTCTACAAGAGGACGGGCCAATGGAGGAGGAGGAAGCAAGGAGGATGTTCTTCCAGACTGCACGTGCTGTCAGTATTGCCACCACCAGGGGACAGCACACAGAGATCTGAAGCTGGACAACATCCTCTTGTCCCGGAGCGGCGGTATGACGAGAGTGAAGCTGGGTGACTTCGGTTTCAGTACAAGGGTTTTAGACTCTGAGGGGGAAGAAGGTGCTGAGCGGGAATTTTTGTGGGAGCGCTCCCTACACAGCACCGGAAGTACTTCAGAAAAATGGTCCGTATGACGCCATGGCGGCAGATGTATGGAGCCTCGGCGTCATACTGTACAGGTAGCAGTCAGCGCTGTAGTTCCATTAGATTATTTGGTGCGCATACTGTTCTCAGAACACGACGTAATCTTACGGACATCTTTGGTTTGTAGATGTGTCAGTACTACGATACACTAATATCCCGTGGGGTTTCTAGGTTAGAACTGGTCCCCATCAACCTTGCCACTAAATATATCACCTGGTGGTTGCATGTCACCACCGTACGGTACGGATCGTTGCTCATGATATTAATCGTCTGGTCACCCTTAATTGTCTGGTCACCCTAACTGGATTGATTACAGGCCGCCGTCATATAGCTGGAATATTGCCGAGCATGGCATTATAACAACAAACGTATAAAAGGCCATTAATGTATAGAGCAGTCGTTGAGTGACTCGTATGGCGTCTGTGATCCGAAGAAGCGGACGTATAATATGACGATCAATTTCGGTGTAACTCTATGTACAGCACCAGAACGGAACATCACCTGACACTTACAAGTGATTCTTTACCTGTACAACCTTTACTCAGCTTGCATTTACACATAATACAAGACTTATCCCCTTTACGTGAGATAGTTTAAGGCCGGCGTTCAAGCTCCCAATTTGATATGGCCCTGCTATCCGACATGCTACATGAGCACAGTGTATTTGCTGACAATCATTTCGTAATTTCAGCATGCTGTATTTCCGGATGCCATTCAACGACAGTGACCTGGACATCATGCTACAGCATCAGCTACAGCGTGACGTGACATTTCCCGCACTTCACCCAGTAACTGTCACATGCAAAACCCTCATCAAGGCCATGTTGGAACCAGATGTACAACACAGGGCCACTGCTGATAGCGTCTTGGAAACGGACTGGTCCATATGAAGGAACACTGTGGTCTGAGATTGTAGCAATATCTGGAAAATATATTTTTTTCTACCTGATGATGTCTGCAATTTTTCTCTTCTCACTTAGTACAAATATGTTTGTCACTAAGTACTTATCAACATCTATTTAAAAAGGGAGGGAGCACACCTACCTCCCTTCTTCACCACGCCTGTAAACATGTTTTAGTTGCCGAGCCATTCATTATAGTTCTCCCCATATTCACGTGTTTCTTATCTCTTACATTGAAACTACACTGTCATTAAGTCGTGGGTGTGGTAGTCAATTACCTTGAGCCCCGTTGGCCATCCCAGTCAGTAACAGATGGAGTGATTTCGGTCAGATCCATGGTAACAGTATGTCAGTTAGTGTCCAAGTTTCAAACGAGTGTCATACAGAGTCACGGGTATGGTACGGATTGGGTACTGGCTTGTTACGCATAGGGTTCTCATATTGTACGGTAAAGTATGGTACGAAATGGGTACTGGTAGAGTGTGGTTATGATACTGGTATATGCTACGGATTGGGTACGGTTATATTAGGGTACTGGTATGGTACGGTTAGCGCATTGGTGTGGTACGGGTATTGTATAGTAATTGTCTTGTCTTGTCTTGTATACTGGCATGGTACGGTTAGTGTATTGGTATGGTACGGGTATTGTATACTGACATGGTACGGTTAGTGTATACTGACATGGTACGGTTAGTGTATTGGTATGGTACGGGTATTGTATATTGGTATGGTACGGTTAGTGTATTGGTGTGGTACGGGTATTGTATACTGCATGGTACGGTTAGTGTATTGGTATGGTATTGGTATGGTACGGTTATTGTATGGTACGGGTATTGTATATGGTACGGTTAATGTATTGGTATGGTACGGGTTTTGTACTAGTATGTTAAGATTCGGCACGAATGGAGTACGAGTTCTGTATAGACAAACCAGGAATCACACTCAAGGAGAATCTGTGACTCGACCCTACAATCAGGGGGTAGCGGGTCGGGGTTTGCTAAAAGGTGACTGTAAAGCATTACATACTGTACGCAGTTGCACAGATCGATGCCCATGCTGTTGATCACTGGATTGTCTGGTCCAGATTCGATTATTTACAGACCACCGCCATATAGCTGTAATATTGCTGAGTGTGGCGTAAAACTAAACTCACTCACATACTGCACAAAGGGAACCCCCGTTAATCTGAAGTATTCCTGTCACAGTGAATGTACAGACAAAACAATTGTTACATACAGAGTATTGTCCTATAGATACACGCAACCAATATAGTATTTCGTAAAGGTTGGTATCCCCGGACAGCGGGTAATAGAAGGAGCCAGGCACATGTGCGGGTTGAGTACATTCATGTGTGTAGATATAGGAATAGGTATAGACTCCGACTAAATGATGTTTTTATGTGCCTGTATACAGTGGACATGAGGCCATGTGTCGGTGTTTCTTTGTAAGGTTTGTTATAAGTAGCAACGGATTATGTACTTTAACAGGGCGGGTCCCAGCTGATCATTATGATCCGCAGTGTACACAAGGCGGGGAGGACGGTAATGTAAGTTGGTGTTTCTTTGGTAGTATTTATTTCATAACTTCGGCATAGTTTATATGAGGGTGTATGGTGTTTCATATCGTCAGGCAATGCTCTACAGGTTATAGACACACACCCCAAAACCTGACATATGTTTACCTTTGTATTTGTTATTTTGCTACCACTCATACATAACTACAGCCTCCCGCGAAAATGCAAGGGTAAGTGAGGACAGACGTTGTCATTATCATGAGAGACCAACAAGTTGCGATTTAGATGAGCATATCGACTATCTGTGTGGTCAGGTAACTGTTGGGAAGTTCCTAGTGTGCTTAGAGTGGAAGTGCCCCCAGCGGCGTTGATATATGTTCACACTATCGACCTACTGGTTTGCAGTAGACATATCTATAACATGCAGACCGTTGTAACGTCCAATTCTCATAATGTCTACCACAGGGATACCATAGGCCTCTAATTATGTTACTCAAAGTCTGGTTCCTTTGAGTTTGTATGTTTTTGTTTCTAGGTTTGATATATTTTATGTACTTTACTATTTCGTGAATGACAAATGTATGTTATTTAAAACGTGTGAGTGTTAACGATATATGCATAAGAGTTTAAAATATTTATTTGAGAGTTGTGAGGGGTATTTACAATGGGTGTTTACACGTATTTAGATCACTAGATGACTTGTATCAGCATTACCTTGATGCTAAATGTACCTGGGCTGCAATCGCTGCACTGATTATTAGGGAACAGAGGTCGAAGAAAATAAGACGGATTTTACGTCCAAGGACTGATCCATAATGTTTGATACATGATGAATGCTTGTGTTTGATGTTGTACAAGATATTTATTTTGGCTTCCTGCTTGTATCTAGGTGACGTGTATAGACATGACTCGTAATCGTTTGATACTTTAAACAAACGCTCTGAACGCTGACAGTGTGTGTACCTACTCATCAGTCCGTCCACGTGTATCCACAAGCCAGGCCGGGTACATCTGCTGCCAACAAGGCGACGGCCCTCCACCCGAGATATGACACACCACCTTCAGATACCCTGCCTATATATACAGTCTATTTTTAGAAACACCTACGCCACGGCATGTTGCTACCGTGAACACAGGTTACCACAAAGTGACTGATATGATCGACGTCTTTGCAGTGAACAAACAAAGCGCATATCGACAAGCAAGCATAGAGGATAAAGACCGTCGCCCACAGGACGGGGATCTTCAAAAGGGCAATATGACACCATACTTCCGAGGTTTTAAGTGTGCCAATGCAATAACCGATCGTCCACCTCAATGTATAAACTATTTGTTAATCGGGATATATATACCGTAGACTAATAAGCATGAATATAGCTTATGGTGCTTGAACAGCTCTGTGACACCGGTACAGCCTGATTTACAACTATACACGACAAGGCCAATTAGTTTGAACAAATAATAATGTGTGTTTAGGACATTATGGAAAACGTCAATGCAGGTGTTTGCAGAATTCCTGCAGACTTTCCTGTAAACAATATCGACAGGGATAGGCGACACTGGGTCAGGCGTTTCTTCACCACCTTGCATGTATTCCACCAAGGACTTGTCTCGAGTTGATTCCAAAGTTTTACTGAAATTCAGTCCATAAAAGAAACCAACAAACAACACAGCAATGTGTGATAAACAATAATTGTATTCTAAAATTATTTTACAATGTAAAACAAATCGCTACAAAAGTATTACAGTGACAGTACAAATCCTAAGGCAGTATAGTACAAAAATTGTAATTAGGGCAATAAAGACAGAGATGGTAATATTCTCCTCACTCCAACAATTAGGCAAAATTAGGCCAAGGCTGAGTATCCAGTGTACCAATGATCTCCACACAAGTGCTTGTCTTTTTGTGACTTGAGGTGTAATGTGAGATTAGAGACACTAGTTGTAGTTAGCTTCCAGTATATACCTAAGACAAATACTCCAGATGATTCTCAAACTCCCTGGGTCAGAGGAATAGTGTAGATAGGCTGCTGTTCCCTGTAGTAACTTCCAGAACCCTGTCCAAATATAGCACAAGTCTAAATATAACATACCACTGCCCTCCTTACTGTACAGTGTTACATACTTGAACATCATAACACAATGAGTGAGTAAGTTTAGCTTTACGCCGCTTTTAGCAATATTCCAGCAATATCACGGCGGATGACACCAGAAATTGGCTTCACATATTGTGTCCACGTGGGGAATCGAACCCAGATCTTCGGCGTGACGAGCGAACGCTTTTATCACTAGGCTACCCCACCGCCCCTCGAAACACTTCGAATAATACTGACACATAATATTAAAGTGTGTTTCATATATTTAACCACAACAGTTCTTACATACCAAATTTTGTCTTCATAGCAGAACGCAATAATTTCATTCTGGACCTATTTATTTTATGCTACTTTGTAAACAGTGTTGTGAAGCGGTAAGTTCATTTCTATGTCGATATTTTGGTCCGCAATTGAATGACATTGAACGAAACTGATAAAACATTAAATATTCTCTCGCAAGACTTAATGTATAAATCCACATAGACCAGTAAACGTTGATTCAATTAATATGCTATTTGTGATAGATGCATGGTGAATATTATTCTAGTATACAGGTTAGTGTATGCGCCAGTGTATAAATCGCAAAGTGCTTTGGAAAACAGAAAGTTACATAACAAACAAAGCATACGTTTCGACCATCTGCCCTGACGACGGTCATCGTACTGGCTTGATCTAAATCTAACAGTCAAAAAGCAGTACATGTACGTTGTCTCTACGTTCTGCAAGTATAATGTGTTCGGCTAGGGAAAAATTAACAGAAAAAAGTTACAATAACCAATTCTATTAAATAAGTTATGTTATTATCACCATGATCATAAATCATACGTTTATTATTAAATAATAAATTCAAGCACTCAGATATCAATCAAAATTCTTTGTGAAATCGCATGTTCTACCCAACCCCATACAGGAACTTCCTGTGACTTTATTTCCATGACTTTTTATCCGTGACATTTTGTTCCTGTGACTTTCTATCCTATATTTTATAATGTATAAACAGTGATGCTCGTGTGTAGATATCCGTAGTTTATGGTGACGCGTTACTTAGACACACTGTTCCATTCCCCATACGTACATGTAGATTAGTGAAGCCCTTTCAGGGTTAAACACGGCAACAAGTGAAAATCCCGGACTACAGGTAATTATTGTGTGGCAAACTCTACACATTTTCCAATGAACCACTTGTCCTGCATGGTCTCCTGCAATGACGTAAATGGCAACCCCCGAGCGCCACTCACTCACTCTTCGTGTGTCAGTAAAATAGGTTGCATTTAGGATTTGACGTCATCAAAAAGCAAGAACCATATACGGGCTTGATATATGTATGTATAGCAAATTTCCAAATTCAAAATTCATACAAATATAATTATGCAACCCTAACGCACCCTTCAGGTTACCGTATCTTTCGGTCAAATCACCCCTTTCGGCCGCACACTAAATGACCTGGCAGGCCGGTGTGCGAAATACACATCATGTTAGAAAGCGCGCGGTAAATCTCCAATCATCATCATCAGAGCACGTCATCAGTGAGAAAATCCACTTGAGACGTCCAATCGAGGCCATGACGTTGTTCTACCAAACACAAGGTTCAACCATGCGTGTCTATGTACACGTCGGCGTGTCGAAGGACGTGCATGTAACTGGCGGAACAGGCTCCGGGGTACATCAACCATAACGCTGGCCACTTGTCCTGTGTGTCGTGACCCGTAATCACTAACAGGTCGAAGTTCAGGGTCATCTCCTGGGGCGGCGAGACAAACCTGCCCATCAACGCCAAAGAGGGTCGGAGCGTGACGGCCTTCTCCACCCCCTACCCCCTCAACAATACGTCATGCATTCACTTGCAGACTAGCGCGACACTATATGGGCTGTAAAACATGCACTCGGTGACACCTACTTGTGCGTCAGGGCAATCGGGCATGTCATACCTATGAAATGTGCAGGTATTTTGACTAGAAAGGACTTACAACAACTTGCGTCAGACCAAGAGAAAACACAATGACGTTACCTGGCTTTCATCACAATGCTTTCCATCAAATGATACACGATAAATGCATTAATCCTCCCAGTGTGAACAACTTAAAGATATAACGATCTTTGTTTTTCGTCTTAAGACGAATGATGTCGACTGATGGGTCGTGAAGTACAGAGTAACAAGGGCTTTACAAGAATGTATTGAATGGTTATTGAAGACGTCATCTGACGTTAAAATATCACCATCTATTTGCTTGTTCTTTACATTCACTCCTGTTTGTGTCTTTGCCAGGGGCGTAGCTACCATTATGAAAAAAGCCCGGGCTTATACCTGATTATGTTAAAAAGGTTGCGCAAGCCCTCAGGACTCACATCTACATATAAAGCTTTGCAACCTATCGAGCTTACACGAAAAAACAATTGGCTCGCCTGTTCGCTGAGTCTTTAGTTTAGTTTGTCCACGTGTTCATTTCATCATAATTTCCTAAAAATACGTGTATACATAATGTTTCAACATCTGACTGTCTCTTCACAGCCGGTGACAGGACTTACATCAAAGATGATTAATGAGACATATATATTCATCACGTTGTGGACAATGCTGAGAATGTCGGTGTAGCACGAGACGTGACAGCACGTGTAACGCATCCGTCCTGTTGTCGTACAATCTGATTGATTGACCAGTTCTTGTATCAGTGTAAAAGCCAAAATAAACATCAGAATCATTGTGTTTATGTACTGCTGCGTCTAAACACTCATACACTGGTGACTGAAACGTGAAACTATGAGAAGAGTTGGAGTGAATATAGGGGAGATAACTCCATTGGTCTTCGTAGTGAATAGTTACCATACCTGCCGGTGCGATTATACTCAGCATCGCTCTTTGTATCCCGAGTGGAAAACTTTCAAATACCTATCATTGAAAACAATTTATTCTTCTCTATCTTAAGTTAGAAATTACTACATATGGTGTACTGCCTCATTGCAATACAACTTCAACTTTATCGTGAGATCATTCGAATTCCAGCTTTTCACGAAAACCTTATCCGCTTTTTGCTCAATGAACAAGGTGTACAAGCACCTGTTGGTCGCATTCCACGTGTATAAGTGAAGCTACAAAATGATTCATCTACAAAGTGATTTAAATACGACATAAGAAGTCAATAACTTCTTACAGTTTTCATTCACATCCTGATTAGATGTACTATTGTATCTAGACGAATCTGCAGTAAAATGTTAATGAATAGTTTCGTCAACAATTTATTGTTATTTTAAAGTGAATAAGAAATCAGAAACAACGTAATGGCGACGTATACCTTTTTGGCAAGAATTGTGTTATTTCTTTATTTCACCTGTGCTCGTGTTGACTGACACCCAGTTAAACAGCGCCAAATTGGTAGTTAGGAAATAACCGTTTTCCTGTGACAAGACCGAGTTAGGGCTTGTTCAAATAATGTCAGGGCAGAACTTTGTCTGTGTCCAGTCAATCAATGTATCGCATAGTTCTCCTTCCACAGAGACAACATTGCAGCAACAGCCGTTAATAGTCGGTGACAATGGATGAACACGGGAATGGGACGATCGATAATTCAACCCAGCCATATGACTCTGTGGGCTGGAATGTTTGTCAAATAGATTTTATTCCATTTGCAAAAATCAGCAGAAAATTGACACAATCTTTTTACACGTCCCACATTCCACTGAGAACAATTCAGAAATGTAAACATACATAATCTACTGGCGCGTGATGGTTGACCTCCATGACCTCCTACTTCGACCAATGAATAAGCCGGATATGTTCATGACTATTCATGACACCCTTCGTCTTACCGAACACCTTGGAGTAGGCTAAACGGCGAATTTAGGAAAACAAAGTCGCGCCCGGCCACTCCCTGGACAGGATATTACATTTCGGAACTTTCACATCTCGGAAACATTGTGATAAGACGACACAGGCATAATTTCAATTTGTGGGACACAAACTTTGTCGGATTGTACACCTGTGCTGAGATCTACAGGTAAGAATTTCCTCTCACACACCCGGGTTGGGCCGGTCTGTCGCTCGCCCTGATCCAACAGGTACTCTAAAATAATCCACGTGCAGAAATACACGTGCGACAATTAACACCTCAGTTAAGGACAATTTATTTACCATTTACTAAGTGGGTATATACGCGTAGAGTGTTAAACATGTGTACATTTCAAAACGCGTTATAACGAGGAGAAATGTTCAATCATGTGTGACCAGTAGCTGTCAGTCGACCGCGGTTTGCTGGTGATTACTGACCGTGAATGTAGATCTTATACCTATTGTATGTTACACATAATCTCCGCCAGGTTCTCAGTGTAATCGAATAATTAGCGAACCTGCCATGACTTGACTTTAAGGAAAAAATCAGGTAGGAGTCTCAAAAGAGTACGTAGTATTATAGAGATTCTGGAAAGTGATAAAGCATTACGGGTAAAACAGGTCAAGATATTGCCAAATCTGGGCGTAACGGGTGGATGTTGACAGTGTCTTTTGAACACGCCCGGTGACATCAGTCGTTACACGATTCAACACAGAGACATGGCTTAGGTTTCTAGGCCAGAATACGAATCAAACATTTGCTTCAACATGTAAGTAATTTTATCCACGTACTGAAATTAGATATTGTGTATCATTGAAAACAATAGGCTGCCGTACATATTGATTATTTTACAGTCGTTAGAAGAACATAATCAATATTTGTGTATGGGCACTTTTAGAATTTGATATTTATATTTACTTGTTTATGTTTATGTTCCTTTTATAAACAAAATGGATCCTTTAATTGTAATATAGTAAAGTAGTCAAACGGCTTGAATGAACTTTTACCCATATTGAAATCTCCCCATATCTGAAGTAGTCAGTTATTATCATGATTATGGTTTGTTCATGCGTGGTTGACAACAGAGATTCATTGTAGGGTGGGCTAAACATAATATGGCCAGGAAAGATTTTGGGCAAAACACATACTGCTGATTATTATGATGGTGTTGAAAACAACAGATAGTCATTATTAAAAAGATTCTTAAAATATTGACAATAATGTACATCTTAGGAGAAGGTAACTGAAATATGTGATCCTTTCTGTTATGTCAACTACCAATGGTGCATGACATGAGATATATATTTGTAACACATACTACAACATTGTGTTATCTGTTATGCACAAGTGGTGCAATAAACAAGATAACGACCACTATGAGTAATACAGACATCTAACAAAAGTGCTTATTCATGATGAAGTTTCATATCTAAAGAGATGATTTTGAGAGAGATTGGATGTTCATAAACTTATAATTTTTATTTATTGTGAGGATTTCCTAATCAAAGATGGTGAATGCCATCAAACTGGTCCATGTTTACTGGGTGTCAGAACATTTCCACAAATGAGCATACTATCCATCAACAGTTTTCAGGGATATCTGTTTTATTTGTTTTGGTTGTGTACACATTCAAGTCTTAAAGAAAGACTATTTCTAAGTTTAAGTCATACCTCAAGCCAGTATGATACAATGGTTGTTACTTATGGTTGTTTCATTAACCACTGTTGACCCTCAAGTGAAGGTAAATCATATCACCAGTTCAAGCTTGGACACCCAAGCAGGTTAGGACCCCTCTATGATCTAAAGAGTGGATGGAGCATCTGTCTGCTTCAGTCCCATGCAAGCTTTTTTTAAAATGGTTCTTGTTGTTACCTTGCCTGGTGTACAGCATTATGGGAATAGAACAACTGCTGGTGACCCGGGGTCAGTATACAGAGTGTGTGGGGTGCCCACATGTTACACTGCAGCACAGTATCTCATTGGGCTGGCACTATAGGCCTGCCATTAGTCCTAACAAGCAGTCACACTCACATGCAAGTTGCTATTGAAGTGCAACCATTTTGATCACAACTTTACACTCCATGTCACCTTATCTCTGTATGACCACTGCATGAGCTAGTGATTTGTCAGTTGTATGGCTTCCAGCACCTGTTGCATGTTTGGGCAGATAATGCAGACAGTATTCCCGGCATTATCACACAAGTGTTAGATATATATCTCAGACCGATAGGTAAAGGTCTCCACTGGCACAGAACATGAACACAGGTACGACACGTCAGTTAGTTCTATCAGCTTGTCTGCTCGGCATGTCCTAAATACACCAAAGCTTTACGACTAAGTGAGTTCATATGTATCTGTCCCATCATATTACTTACCATGAGTATTAGAAGGTAGCAGGGATGTTGATATGGCTGCTGTTGATTTCAACATCTGATATTGATGGAATAATCCAGGATATATGGCATACTAATTACTACACCTTCTATTACTACAGTGATATATATCTGGGGCCAATATTTGACCCCAGATCTACATAAATGTCTGTGGAATTCTGGGATTGGTATAATATTTCCAAATTAAGATTATCTCAATTTGATAATGCTCTTGAGGCAATCTTTTCATTTTGCAAAGTTTTTTGTTTTTTTAACAGATAAGAACACAAGAGAAATGTTTCATATCTTTTTGTGTTTTCAATGTAATGCAAAGATATACCTTATGTTAAGAAAATAAAGGCTTCTCAATTTTGGACCATTTTAAAAAGTTGATTGGATGGTTGCTGGTTGTGGCTGTCTAAGTACCCTGACAACATGGATGGTTGGTCACAATAACTGTTGGATTGTCTTGTTGAAATTTGATTATTTGAAAGTCTTATAACTGGATTATAGCTGAATGGTGCTTTAAACAACAAAATAGAATCAACATGGTCCAAACTTACCTGTCATGGGCACAGGACTATATCAGAAGAACGTGAACATATGACAAAAGCCAGTTTGGTATGCTGCTAAGAAGGTTGATATACAGTACAATGTCTAAAAGATTCCTTGCGATAGATTGTAGATCTAAGTTGGTTTGATCGATAAAGCCTGCACTTTTCCATTACCAGACAGAGGTAGGTGGAATAATTTCTTTTGTCATAATAACTTTAATTTTACAAGTTAATGAGAATTGTCATGAAATATCTTAAAAGTATCCATCTTGAAGATGATATAACATCTTTGACTTCGAAGCTGAAGATGTTCTGTGTTGTGGTTGTGGATGCTTGTGTTGCATGTATTCGCTCTGTCCTGTTAAGGCAGCCCTTGTGACTGCCTGCCGAGATGCTGGATGTACACACTGATTAATACATCCATTATACATAGGACTGGCCTGCTTTCCTCGACAACAGGTAGTCACGACCACAGCCCAGGGTTCAGATCACGCAAGCAACCCACATGTGCTGTCTGTGTGTGCGACAAACAGTTAATATTCCAGCCATATTCATTTCTTGTTATACTGGATATAGCAGCATTGAGATTGTAATTACAGTTACTGTTTCCAACAAAAAACATCTTTCGTTCAAAAAAAAAGAAAAGCAACATTTATGACTGTCAGCTTCTGTATTGTGAATAACACTACAATCAGGTGATGAAGGATCAAGCATACACTCCGAAACGTCATGTTATTCACAATAAACAAGTTGACATCCATAAATCTTGCTTTTCTCATGTATTCCACTTCCAAATTTCCTTCAAAGATTTGATCTTTCATAAAGACAGATTTTCTACCGTGTCACTAGCTCTAATCCAATACCATGTTTTCATGTAGCAGTTCATACAAGATATCTCTTGTAACTGTATTTCACAAGCCTGTATCATGTTGTAATGCAGAATTATTTAAATAAGTTGAAATCTATATTGGGAAAACAATTAAATTGATAAACTTTACACTATGTAATCAGGTGGGTTTTTTCAAATTGTCAAAATTTATTATTTCATTGTCCTGAAATCTTTTCTTGTGGAAATTAGTCAGCACAATATGGCACATGTATTTCACGTTATCTTAATGTCTGTAGTTGGGACATGTGACTCAGGGTTCAAATTGTGTGATATGGAGACGACACTTCACGGAAGGAGTGGCCTGTCAAAAACATGTCAATCTCTCTGACTCAAGTCACACTTCTGACATTGTGCAATGTTTTCTTTCTCCCATGATGCAACAACGAGAGGTGACAGGGTTATTGTTTACCAAATTGTGTGATATGGAGAGAGGTGACAGGGTTATTGTTGACAGGGATACCACCAACAAGGAGAGGAGGTGACTGGGGGTTATTGTTTGACTGGGTTATTGTTTACCAACAACGAGAGGTGACAGGGATATTGTTTACCAACAACGAGAGGTGACAGGGATATTGTTTACCAACAAGGAGAGGTGACTGGGTTATTGTTTACCAACAACGAAAGGTGACTGGGTTATTGTTTACCAACAGGTGGCAGGATATTGAGAGGTGACAGGGATATTGTTTACCAACAACGAGAGGTGACAGGGATATTGTTTACCAACAACGAGAGGTGACTGGGTTATTGTTTACCAACGACGAGAGGTGACAGGGATATTGTTTACCAACAATGAGAGGTGACTGGGTTATTGTTTACCAACAAGGAGAGGTGACAGGGATATTGTTTACCAACAACAAGAGGTGACAGGGATATTATTTACCAACAACGAGAGGTGACAGGGATATTGTTTACCAACAACGAGAGGTGACAGGGTTATTGTTTACCAAAACAAGAGGTGACTGGGTTATTGTTTACCAACAACGAGAGGTGACAGGAATATTGTTTACCAACAACAAGAATTGACTGGGTTATTGTTTACCAACAACGAGAGTTGACAGGGATATTGTTTACCAACGAGAGGTGACAGGGAGAGGTGACAGAGGTGGGATATTGTTTACCAACAACGAGAGGTGACAGGGATATTGTTTACCAACAACGAGAGGTGACAGGGTTATTGTTTACCAACAACTTGAGGTGACAGGGATATTGTTTACCAACAACGAGAGGTGACAGGGATATTGTTTACCAACAACGAGAGGTGACAGGGATATTGTTTACCAACAACGAGAGGTGACAGGGATATTGTTTACCAACAACAACGCCGTGAGACAATGATGGAGACTGTACACTGG